AGTTTATCTGTTCTAATTCTATGCCCTTTTCTACATGAAACTTAGACCAAGGCTGAAAAAACAACTAGAAAACATGGAGAGAAGCTTTTTAGAATTTCTCATGATTTTCCCAAACTGATCCCAGAAAAGCAGAACTCAGTAGAGTGTACTCACCTCGACGCATTCTGTCTTTTTTCCATAAGCTCCATCACCTGATTGAAAAAGCAGAGTATACTTGGTATTTAGGCTCACAACAGGAAACCTTCATCTTCATTTCATAAAAGAAACTACATTAATTTACACAGCTGCAGGTGCGTATCCAGATGTTAAAGCCTTTAAGCTTTTCAGAGGGTGAGAATGCCCTGCTAAGGAAGGCTGACAAATGCTCGGACCCTGCACAGGTCCAAGACAACCTTGGTTTTGTCTGCGTTCTAGTACCCGGCTAAAGAAATGGTAGAACAACCGCAGTCGTTCCCTGCCTTTTCACTAAGAGATTGCCAGGGGCTGGGCCAGCCTGGGCACTCCCGGGGCAGCAACAGCTTTCTGCGCTGGCACCTTTTGGCCGGGAGGAACCTTCGTCCCTGTTCAATTCTGGGAATCGGACTGGCAGCACAAGCCAAGTCACCGGCAGAATTCTGGACCTTTGGTCTCCTCAGAGCGCCCACGGCCAGGGGAAAAAGAACATTTGCTTCACCGTCCCGAGGACGGAGACAAACAAAAAACCACACCACCGGACCGAATTCACCCGCAGAAGCCCAAATTCACCGAGCGCCGGGCCCCCCCGCGAGCGCCGGGCCCTGAGGCCTCGCAGTCGCCGCCTGGCGGACACGGCCGGGAACGGCACTGCAGCCGCGCGCCCCCCCCTTGCAAGACCCGCGGCGCCTTTCGCAAGTGCGGGCCTTTCTTCCCTAAAACCTGCCCTTACCTAGGAAAAGCTGAGCAGTTCACAGAGTTGCTGTTTCCAGCCCAGATTCCCAAAGGATTTCTCTCTCCTGGCAGCACAGACAGGGTCCCCGAGGCAGCACAGACCCTCCCCGCGAGGGGGGTGCAATGGCCGGGCACATCCGAACCCGGCCCTGCCGCCTGCCGCTCTCTCCGCCCCTTCTCCTGGCGGCGGCACGCAGGTGCAAGTTTCTCCGCAGAGGCGAGAAACTTGCCTGTCTCTTCCCCTGCCTGCAGTCCCCGATGGCCGCGGGAGAGGCAGAAGAGCGGCGGCGCCTCCGCCGCTATCCGCTTACCCCGGGGCCGGTCTGCCGGAGAGCCCGACGTCGGATCTGCCGCCGTGGGTGGCTTCCGGGGGGGGAAGGCGGCGGCGCAGCCCCGACAGCATCTCCGGGGCACGGCGGGACCGAGCGGGGCGGGGGCGGGGGCGGGAGCGGGAGCGGAGCGGAGCGGAACGGGGCGGGCGGCCGGCGCGCCAAGCCCCGCCGTCTGCCTGGGGTCCTCGCGCCCGAGGCGCGCGCCGCGGCGCCGAGAGGGGGCTGCCCGCGCCGGTGCCTGCCGCCGCCCACGAACCTGTCGCCCGCGCCAGGCGCCGCCGAGCGCGCCACCCTGTCCGCGCACCGGGAAACAGCGCGGCGAGACGGCGCTGCGGGCGCGGGGCGGATGTCCGGGTCGGGGCGAAGGTCAGGCAACAGGATAGACGCCTCTCTGAGGAGAGGGGGCCTCTCGCCGCCATCTTGTGTGTGGCCTCAGCTAATTTCCGGTCGTGGCGGCGCCATCTTTGGTGTGGCCTCAGCGAACTTCCGGGCCGGGGCCGCCATCTTTGTGTACGGCCTTGGAGGACTTCCGGTAAGGGCGCCGCCATCTTTCTTTGTGTGCGTCCTCGCAGGGAAGACTTCCGGTCATGGAGGGCGCCATCTTGGGTGGTGCGCCGTCGAAAACGGTCCGGTCGCTCTCTACTTCCGGTGCCCCCCGGAGAACGTCCCTCACTAATTTCTGCGCTCTCGCCTCGAAAATCTTCATGTTATTTCCCCCGCACACACCCCGGGAGAGACGGGAGACCGCGAGCCCCGTCGCGCCGCGGGAACCGGCCCTTAAGTTGAGCAGGGAGCGCTGCAGCGGCACGAGAGCCACTGCGCATGCGTCGCCGGGCCCGCGCCTGGCCGCCCTTGGTGATCACATGATCGCCGGCGTCTTGCTAACGACTGCGCGTGCGCCCCCGTCGCCACCTTGGCTGCACCCCCCACCACCATCCGACCTTCTCTGGGATTTTTTGCAGTCGTTTCTCCTACAGGTGTTTGGTATTGTTTAGGGGGGTGGCGGTGTTAAAAATTTTGGTCAGTAATTTGCATAATTAAATGACAAATTGCATAATTACACATTATTCATTATTACTTAGCTCTCCAGATGGGAGTAAGAGGGGTGGAGAATAATAGTAATAATATGACTGGCCTTTTTAGCCACCAACGAGCTTGCAACAAACATGGGTAGTGCCCTTCCCAAATCTTCGTTCGCGAAGCCTAGCCATGAATGAATGACTGGCTTTACTCCCATCTGGAGCACTAATTATGGGCTATATACAGTATAAATAAAAAAGAAAATGGCTCACTCTCTGGGAGTAATTTTTAATTTTTTTTTTTTAATTAAAAAGTCTGAATAGAAACAGCTTCTGTTTCAGACTGAAGCAGCCACTTCACTGAAGCTAAAATGCCCCCCCCCCGTGTGCATTCGAATGGCGCGCAGGGACAGCGACGTCCAGCGATAACCAGCAAGGCGTCATTCCACGATGGTCTCCCCCTCCTCCGCCGCTCGATGGTCTCTCCCGCCCCTCCGGCGCAGTAGGCCCCGCCCCCTCACGTCAGTCACTCCCTTGCCCGCTGGCGATTGGCCGATCTGCAGTGCCTTGCCCGAAGTGGCCAATGGCGGGGCTTTGCCCGCCCGGAGTCAAGATGGCCGCGCCAGGAGCTGCGGGCGGGCGGCTCTGAGGCGGCCTGCGGGGGCCGCCGCTCGCTCCGCACCCCGCTCCGCTCCGCGCCCCGCCGCGCCGGGGGCCGGCCGGCCGGGGGTCGCTCGCTCCCGCGCTCGCTGGCGCCGGCCGGCCGGGCCCGCCCCTCCCTCCGCCATGGCGGCCGAGAGCGGCCGGCAGTTCTGGAAGCGGAGCGCCAAGCTGCCGGGCAGGTGAGCCCGGGGAAGGGGTGCACGGGCCGCAACACCCACCCTCCCAGCTGGGGGATGTCGGGAAGGGGAGCTGGAGCCGTCCCTCTGCCTTGGGAAGGGGCTGTCACCCACGCTGACTTTGGGATTGAGGGTCCTGCGGTACTTCCCTGCAAGGCTGGAGGGATACCAGGCGTACCTATCCTGGCTGCAGGGCAGAGGAGCTGGCTGGGGACCTAGGGTTCCCCCCTCTAACGGGGGCAGAGAAAGTTTGACGGAGGAAGGCTTACCGTTTAAGAGACAAGGGTAGGATCAGAACTGCTCACTCATCTGTAGGACAAGGCAGGCTGTGTGGGGGCTGTGGGGACCCCTGTGTGCTTCCTCTGCCCCATGAGAAACAGAATGGAGGGATCAGGGCCTTGAAGGCCCCTTTGGGGTGGCCTCAGAGCCAGGACTGGACCATCTTCCTTTCCACAGCTACCGAAGAAAGCTCATCCTTTCCTGAAGTCCTTAGAGGTATCACTTTGAGTAGCAGCAACTCTGTCCGAGAGGGGTGCCCCTGCCAACGCCGGTAACCCCCCCATTATCCTCCCTTATGTAGGATGTTAATTCTTCTCCATCTCTACTCAAGATGGAGAACTTAGAGGGGCTCTCTGTTTGCACCTCCCCTCAGTTCCTCTGGCTGTGATGTCCTGGTTCCTGTCGAGGCATGCACGCTCACCCAGGGATGGGAGAAACAAGTGAAATGTCTGATTCAAGTGGTATTTAGGAAGAAGAAGCTGGTGGTGATAAAGGAGATGCTCCCTATAATGTCTTGGGAGCAAGACTGCCATGGGGAGAGGGGGTCTGCCTCTCTGTGAAGGTTCTCGCAGGTGCTTTTCACATCTGAGGGCTCTTCGCATTTGCTCTCGTTTTCGTTATGTGAATCCTGCCCTTCCCTCCTAGGGTACACACACAATCTAAAATGCTTAGTTGGCTTTAAATCCTGCTAGACTACTTAAATATTTCTAATGTGCTTTCACTCATCTCTCTGTCAGTGTGCTGACTCCTTCAGGTTGGCTGGACAATCCGGGTCTGTAGCAAGCGAAGGGAAAGCAAGGAGCACTCAGCGTTCCTCCTCTGCTCCTCATGGGGGAGGAAAATGCTGTGCTTTCCCTGGGTTATTTTGTCTCCTGATTGCTGCTGTCTCTTATTTGAAGGTCTCGGATGTGCGCTCAGCTGGTGGTCTTGGACACCATCTCTCTTCTGCTTTGGTGACTTTTGAGCTTTGACTTGGAAAGCTCAAACCAGGTGAACCGGTCTGGGAGGCAGCCAGTCCTACCTAGACAGTACACTACATCATAGAGTTTTTGGCAGTGTTCTCTCCTGCTCCTAACTGCCTACTTGGCAAATATCCGGCTGTGCAGGAGCCATGTTACCGTCTCTAAATACCCTGTGTGCCGGTTATTTCCAGGGACAGTTACCAATAGGTCTTGGGCAACGTGACCGCAAAAGGTGGAGGTGGGATGTGCTGTGTCCATAGTCGTTGGACAGGAAGCTTCCTTTCTTCTTTTTTGTCTGAGCTTTGAGAGATCTTCTCGTACAGATTCTTGGCTCTCTCCTTTCTTTACCCTGACAATCTGGCAAAAGAAGGCTCTGTAGAGATTTGGACGCTGTGTTAGCTTCCTTTTCCATGACACTTTGTGCATTTGGTCACTCAGTTGTATTCGCTTTTATTTGGTGCTTTTGGTCCCTCTGAATTTAGGGTGGCAGAACTGGTAAATATTGTTTTGTCTTTCCAATGCTATCCTATGGTTTTTGCATTGGAAATTCCCTCCCCAGTAATTTCCTGAGGATGCTTTGGCAGGGTGGTCTAATGTGTTGTTGTCTGTGATGTGGTGTTTATTTCCTGCTCTTTGGGGAAATGGGCAGCCAGTGTCTTGTTGGGGCTATTTAAATGCTGTTCTAAAAGGGGAGAAACAGTCTGCTAGAAGTAAATATGTTCTGTGTCCAAAGGGGCACTGAAGTTTCATGGATATGCTTTCTGTTGCAGTGTCAATAACCCACACCCTGTGATGATCTCGTGAGCAGTATAACACAGGTAGCACAGCCATTGTACCGTACACCGTTAGTCACCCATTGTACCAGATGCTGAACATTCAGGTGACAAAAAGCCTGTCCCAAAGAACTTAAACTGAGACTGAACGGAGGAGTCCAGTCAGTCTGGGAGCACAGTGTCAGCTTAGATCAGCACGAGATTCTTTGTTTGGGAGTGTCTGGGCTCTGAGTCTTTAAAAAGCTGTTTGGGAGGTGGGACCCTCTGCCATTATATTAGCCATTGGCCGATTGCTTCGGAACCCCAGGAAAGAGTGTCCTCACCCAGCACTGGCTGTCACATCCCCTCCTCTCTCTCTCTAACGTGCATCATTCATTGGTCTTGTGAAGTTCAGGCCTTTGCAGGCAAATCAAAGCAGTTGCCCATTGGCAGCCTGTGAGTCTCAGCACAGAGAAGAGCAGCGGTGTCCTGGCTATCGCGAGACAGTGCGAGTTTGGTACTGGTTATGGGAAAGGCTCTGCTGGCTCCTTTTCTGCAAGGAGCTGCCACAAGTCATTGGGAAACAATGCTGATCTGGAGGGGTTGTTTTTCTTACTCCTGATTATCTGCTTGCTGTGGCCATCTGTGGAGGTGCCTCTGCTTAATAGCTGTGCTGACTTCCGGATGCTCATTAGTCATCACACTCTATCCTACCACCCTGTTGGTGGGTAAACACAGTGAGCCTTTTCAGCACTTCCAACCACGAGGGACAGGTGCTGCAGTGGTGAGCCCACTCCTTGCTGGGCTGCTCTACCAGGATCTCTCTATGCTGTGGTTGTTTCCAGTCCCTGCCCTGGATCTCTGCATCTCTTCCATGCCAGCTGGACCTGTTGCTTCTGCCTCCTCCTCATCATCTGGTTCCCAGCGTGCTTTCCAGCTGTACCAGGCTGCCATCCCTCTCCTACACGGCAGGGCTCTGCTCGTTTTACTGCCAGGCACCATCTGCAGCTCCTAGAAACCAGACCAGCTCTATTGACCCACGAGGAGCTTGTTTCTTGTGTGCCAGCTCAGAATGGGCCTTTGTCTTTGCCGTGGGTCGTGGGACTACGCTGCGTACCAGAGGATGGGGAGGACTTGTTTTTCAGAGATGGTTTTCCGGGGTGAGGTGGCTGTGAATAGTTGCCCAAATGGAGGTAATAACTCAGAATCCCTGTCTCACATCCAGAGTCTGTAAAACCAGTGATTAGCACTTGTCTAGTAGCTCCTCTCTGAGGTGATGTTCCCCATGCAGTGTGTGGAGCCCTCAGGCTCCTGTTCCATTAGTCCCACTCTGCAGAATGGGGAGCCAAGGAACTGAGTTGTGGTGACTCATTTCAGGCCACATAGGAAGTAGTTGATTAAGCTGGGATTTGGACCCGAGTCAAACCACATACTGTACCAGACATTCCAATGCCGTAGCGTAGGCTATGATCCTGAGAGCCAGCATGGGGTTCAAACCCTCAAGTGTATTTGTGGAGGATCCCCAGTGTCACTGTCCTTCCCTGTCCCACAGGCCTTGGAAAGGTAAATTCCCAAAACTGGAAGTCCCCTTGATGGAAAAGAGAGTGAACGTCAGCAGGGAGACTGAGACACGTGATCACTTGGAGTAAATCGATGGTGCAGAAAAGAGCAGATCTAAAATCCCAGTTCAGGCTGGAAAGGGCCTCAGAGTTTAAACAAGGCTTCTCTTTGCTGCTGCTAAGAACAGCATCTTCATCTGAACGTGGCACTTTGGATCTAAGGCTTTTAAGTTAGAAGGTTTTTGAAGTTACTTTTGGTCTTATATTCAGCTCCTGAGAGCAGACAAGAATTGTGACCCCAGCCTAAGCTGAGATTATTCGTGGGACCTCTTTTTGTAGTGTCTTGGTTTTTTTTTTTTTCTTTCCCCTTCCTGCAGCATTCAACCTGTCTATGGAGCACAGCATCCTCCCCTGGATTCCCGGCTCACCAAAAAGTAAGTGTTTATCTCCTGAAGATGCAGGCCACAAGGCTTTGCAGGTTTTTGGCTCAGTTCTGCAGTAGGTGGAGGTCTCTAGCATCCCTGGCATTGTGATATTGCAGCAAAGAGGGACAGCAGTGGGGTGCTGTGCTGTCTTGAGTGCTATGAAAGCTTGCACGGAAAGCTTATTTGCTGTGCCCTTTATGGCCAGAAATCTGTACAGTAACAGCCCCATCAAAGGAGACAGACTTTTTTTTTTTTTTTAGCAGTGGTGTCTGATTCTTCTGCTGCTCTTTGGAGCTGGAAGAATTAAAAGAAAGGGAGGTAAAGCTGCCCAGCAGCTACAAGACTGGAGAACCGCAGCACCGTTATTGGCAGGAAAAGGCAGAACTGATCTGAACTGGCTCCTTATCCCCATCTCGTGCTGTGTAGTGGTGAAAGTTCCCTGCTTCGGGTGGTGGACTTTGACTCTTGTAGCTTAAAAGTAAATGCAAAGGTTCCTTCTGCGCCTGAGGAAAGAACCAGGCTGATCTGGCTGCTGGGAACGATCACAGCTGTATTGGGACCGTCCACGGGAGCAGACCTGCTCTGTCTAACCTCTGACATGCCTCTCCAGGTTGCAAGACTTTTTTTGGGTGGTAATGTACCTGTTTTCTGTAGGGTGGGGGAAGGCAAAGCTGGAGGAATTGTATTTGCCCTTTTGAGCCGGGAAGCCTGGCTTCTCTCCAGCTGTCTGCTGCCACTGTGGCCTCTGTGACTGCTGTCAGAGCAGCTCAAGCTCTGCCTCCAGTGGGCAGCCCAGACAGACTTAATATATTCCTTGGGTCTGGGAGGAGGAACAGGGAAATTGGATAAAGGGATTGGCTGATTGGAGCCAGGATGTGGGGAAAGGAGACAAAATGGACTCATGTAACAGCATGGCTCTGATACTATTCCTCTCTGGCTCGCAGCTTCATCAAGGACCGCTCCAAGGCTGGCGCATTGCCTGTGAAAAGCAAGAAGGCCTCCAGCTTTCATGAGTTTGCCCGCAGTACCAGCGACGCCTGGGACATCGGCGATGACGAAGATGAAGACTTCTCTTCCTCCTCTTCCTCTTTGCAAACTCTGAACTCTAAAGTGGCCAAGGCCACAGCAGCCCAGGTTTTAGAGAACCACAGCAAGCTGCGGGTGAAACCCGAGCGGGCCCAGTCTACTCTCGGTGACATGCCCACCAACTGCAAGGTCATCAAGTCCAGCAGTGAGGCCCAGCTCTCCAGGACTTCTGGTAAGAGCCGTCTTCAGGGGCAGCCTCCTGCTCTAGTGCTCTCGTACTTGACCACTGAACTGAACTGCTTATTGCTACTCACAGGGTATGGGCAAGAGGCTGTGACACAGCCTGTAAGCATAACAGAGGCTTTTTCTTCCTTCTAGTATCCTGTACTCCAAGCATTTTAGCGGCCTAGTCTTAAATGCTTCAGTGTCCTCTGCTGCTCAGTATCCTGCTACAGGCATATCTGTCCAAGAACATCCCATGTTCTGGGTGCTAAGGGAGTTTGGAGATCTGTTAAGTTCTTGCTTGGGCTTGCTCACTGTCTGCTTCCTTTGTGGCCTAGAGTGTGCTACTCTTAGTAAAGATCTGGATGAGGTCCTGTCGACACCAGGTCGATACAGCTTGGGCAGGGAATTGGGCAGCATCAGCCCCTGCTCACTCTGCCTTGTCTGCCTGTGCAGTGAAAGTAACCCAGAAGGTGGCGCTGGCAGCCCATTGCCTCCTCTTTCTGCACTAGCAATTAGCTTTGTTGCTATTTAGATCAGTGGAGAGCAGAGCAGATCTGATGGTCAGTTCTGGAATTCCCACAGCTGCTTCTGCCTTGTCACCTGTGTCCTGCCCATGGTTTCCCATGTGCAGAGGGAAGTCTGATCTGCTTGCAGCCGGGTGTCTGGATGCAGGAGGAAGAAAGGGAAGGAGAAATGGGGGGAAGCGATGGAAGAGCTGCAGCAGATGCCTGTGAACCAGCCAATCCGTTGGAGTGGGCCAATGATGCTGTTTACTGGTGCTGGGGAAGAGAGGGGTGAAATCTGCAGTAGCAGGTCTCTAAGAGTGGCTAGAAGAGTGAGGAAGGGTTGGAGAGGTGCAATCTCCTTCCAATCACCTCAGTGCAGCATCTGGTCCTTGCAGAGGAGGCCTGTGTGCGGACCCCCCTTCAGAAGCAGCAGTCCCTTCCCCTTCGACCTGTCATTCCACTTGTTGCCCGAATCTCTGACCAAAATGCTTCTGGTGCTCCCCCCATGACTGTGAGGGAGAAAACGCGGCTGGAGAAGTTTCGACAGCTCCTTTCCAGTCACAACACAGACCTGGGTAAGCGTGGCAAAATGAGGGTGCCTCTGGGTGGGAAGGGGAAGGCAGAGGGGGCCTGCTGCCTCTATCAAGTTGTAATTGGGTCTGCTTCAGAGTGGAAAAAATGACTACCTGCAGTTGCACCAAGTGGAATGGTTGCACAAATCACTCTGTTGGCAGATGATAATGTGCTCCAGCCACTTCCTCTGTGTTGCTTATCATTCTCCATCTTGTATATGATGGTTGGGATCACTGGGGGCTGTTGGACTCTGCACAAGAACTGAGGTTCTGGCCCACTGGGGCCCCTGCAGCTACCAGTTCTGTGCCCGAGCTAAGCTGAAATCACCTCTACTCCCCTTGCAGCAGAACCACATGCCCAGTCATTGCTAGTGTGGGAGCCTTCCTGGTGGGTCAGTGTCTCCAGAGCCTGCAGGAGCAGACTGGGCTTTCCTCTCCTTCTAGGTACAGTGGTGCCTGGACGTGCCTAGGATCTAATCCATTGCCACCACTGTCCGTTTGCAGATGAACTGAGAAAATGCAGCTGGCCTGGTGTACCTAGAGAGGTCCGGCCTGTGACATGGCGTCTCCTCTCAGTAAGTACTTGGAGCTCTGACACAGGAGTCTGGGGGGATTGTGCTGAGCCAGAGACCTGCTCCTAGACCTTCATGTGTCCCATAACCAGCTTTGCTCGTGTTTTATCTGTGCCTGGTCTACAGGCGAGCTCTAGGGTTTTTTTGATTGGGGAGTGTTATTGCTACATCTTCTTTGAGCTCAAAGCCCAGACTGGTGCGGGGAAATATGCAGTTCACTCTCATGAGGGAAAGTGAATCCAATGAAGTTGGGTTCCTCCAAGATCCGTGAAGACATCGGGCTCAGAAAGCCAAATGCCATGAAAGCTCTTTCCCCAGCTCCTGAGTTTGTGTGCCTGATATTTCTGAGTGCACAGCTGACTGGCAGGATTTCAAGGGATGGTTTGTGGTCAGGAAGAGGGTCTGCCCTGATATGGGTTTTCCTGATGCAGGGCTATCTTCCTGCAAACTCGGAGCGTCGAAAGTTGACTTTGCAGCGCAAGCGGGAGGAGTACTTTGGCTTCATTCAGCAGTATTACGATTCCCGGAATGAGGAGCACCATCAAGACACCTACCGACAGGTATGAATCCTCTGCCAGCTGCCCGTCTTTCTGCCTTGGTTATATCCCTTTCTTCTCTGTTGCCACTGCTTGTCCATGTGGTCAGGGTCATGCTAGAACTCTCTCTAGCTGTAGCTCATAGGAGTCTTCTCCTTGGGGAAAAAGCACCGTGTTTCTGTCCTTGTTAATTTAAGCTTTCCCTAAAATGATCTAATAATAAATTTCAGACCCCAACTCTTTCCCAGCTCTGGCCACCCGCCTGCACCTGAGCATAGGAGACTGGAGATAAAAGTGTAGATGATTTTCTCAGTACAGCTGTCATCTGTAGCCCTCACTGTGCTTCTCAGCAAGTGCAGCTCTTGCTTGGTTGGACGCTGAGGCGCTTTAACCTGTGATGAGTTACTGTGGCCCCAGAAAGCACAGTTGGTGTATGTAACCCACCCTCTTTTCCAGATCCACATTGACATTCCAAGGACCAACCCACTCATTCCCCTCTTCCAGCAACCACTCGTCCAGGAGGTAAGGGGAAGTGAAGCTCCTGCTCCACATTTGCTGTGGGGCATGTGTGTGGAGTTAGACAAGCATTTCTACTAGTGAGTTAGCTTTGTGGGGAAATTTCCCTGGGTCACAGCTCCTGATGCAAGTACCTGCTGAAACTGTCTGGTCTTGTCTCATATTTCTGAAAGACTTGGAGCTCAAGGGTTATGACATCATCTCTTCTGTGGCAAGATGTAGCCAAGAGTTGGTAAAAGACCTGAAGCTTTTGTTTTGAGACAAATTGGAGGCATTTGAACCCGAAGAGGAGATAGTTCTGTTTTACTTCGAAACGTTTTTTGTGCAAAGTGGTATGTGAGCAACCCGGCCGGGGACAGGTTTGAGAGATGGCCAAGAGGTGCAGACACCTGTCCTCTTTGGAAACAAGCCCAGTGTGCGTATGTGATATGTCAGAGCACGGTGTCCAGGAGGATGGGGCAATTTGGGAATAGCATGTTGGTTGTTGTGGGGGAGACTGCTCTTTGGGAACTATCCCAATCTGTGATGTTTTGCTGGGAGTACTGTGCTAATACTTTAGCTTTCCACCTGATGTTCAGCAAAGCATGCTGCTCTGATAAGAGGCAGCCTTGTCTTGTGGATATTAAGCTATCTGGTTCTTGAAAAGTTGAGTCTGCTTTTCCTCAGGCAGAGGCTTTGATGAGGAGTCTCGACTGGACTGTCCTGTTCTCTGAGAGTGGGCTGGAATATGTGGGGGATCTGTGGATCATACAGGAGTCCCTCCTAGGACTTTTATGCTTTTTACGTTACTTGTATTGCTACAGAAAAGCCTGTCAGTGCATGGTCTCCACTACCTGAGCTTAGCAGTTATGCTTTTCTGCCTTTGCTTTGTGCATGGCTAATGCAGGTACATGCTTTCCCTCATTCTTCCCTAGATTTTTGAAAGAATCCTGTTTATCTGGGCCATTCGACACCCAGCCAGCGGCTATGTACAGGGAATCAATGACCTGGTCACTCCGTTCTTTGTTGTGTTCCTCTCTGAGCATGTTGGTAAGTTACATTTGCTGCTTGAAGCACTCCTGACGATAGTGTTTGAAATGGTGTGAAATGCTGGCATGAGGAAAACTTGTCTTGCAGGAGGAGGGGGTGATGCGTTCTTCCTTCAGAGCGCCTGTGCCAGGTTGGAGATGCATCTTGACCTCTTACTGTATCTCTGCTTTCTGGTTGAATTGGCTTCAGTTTGATAATCTTGCTGAGCCCCACAGAAGTTAAAGTGCTAAAAGTGGTTTGCATTTGAATGTACTTAACAACATTACAGTTTGGAGGAGAATGGGGTCTTTTAAGGCACTGAGGGAGTTTAGGCAAAGCCCTGGTATACAGAGTTGCAGGAGGGTCTTGCTCTCAAAGCTTGGACATGGAGACAGTTCTTGCTCTAGGAGGAATGAGTGAAGTATAAAGAGACCCTGCTGAGAACGTAAAATAAGCTATTTAAGTAAGGATTCCTGTCCCTTGCTGCTAGTACAGGTGTGTTTCTAAAGCTGAGAGTTTCAGAAAGCGAACTGACTTCTTCCTGCTGCTTTTGGATTTCTTGTCAGCCTGTGGCTTTTAGATGGAGATCAAGTCCTTTCCACCCATAGCGTTTTTGTTCTTTCTCCGTCTCTAGCTGTGTTTTGGAGTTGATGTTAATGCTGGGATGTCGTAATCCCTGTGTTCAAAGGCTCTTAGTTTTCACTGTAAATAGAAGGAAATAGGAATGTATAGGACTGTATTAGTGACAGAAATCCCATTGAACAAATATTTTTAAGGTTTGATCCAAAACATGTTAAAGTTGGTGAAAGCCTTCCACTATCAAGCTAAGGCTTTGTCAACTAGTACTGATCTGCCTCTTCTGAGGGTATTGTGAAGAGGTAAGCCACCTTACTTTCCACTGCGATAGTCAGTGTGCTCAGGACCGATCCTTAGGAAATGCTGTTGCTCCTCACAGCCTGAAGGAGAAGGCACAAAATGCTACCAGCTGGAGTGAATTCCCTTTTGTGGGAGGTCAAGAGCATTTCAGGTCTGAACGGGTTCTCTTTGAGTGGCCTCTCCTGCGCCTTATTGCTTGAGCAGCATCGATGGCACATAGTCCTCACGGAGGCTCAGGATTGATTTATTGGGTTAGCAGTAGAGCTGTGCACAGTGAGTTACCTATGTGAGAAGGGAACTGGTCTGAAGCATCAGAGCTGCCTGTGGGTACCTGGTGTGACTTCTTGCATTCCTGTTCCATGTTGGTTGTCATGGCTTAACTCTCTCTGCATGTGGCATCAGAGTTCATGCTGCATTGGCCCTGTCCATCTCTTTGCTGGGGTCATGCTTCTCACCATCTTCCAAGGCTGTTTTCACCCCTGATTGAAGCTTCCTCTGTGGATGTGACCTTCCTTTTTCCAGCTATCTCTGAAACTTGTTTTGGGGAAAATCCTCTGCGTGAGACCCGTTGAATAGAATTTGGCCAAGCAACATCGTGCATCCCCCTTATGTCCCTAGAGCCTGTGATTTAAAAACCAGCCCTTAGGTCACAAGCTGTCTTGGTGGCTACCTGCTCCCTAGTCTGGCTGTGTAGCTTCTCATGAAGTGATTTCAGCTCTGCTGACAGGCTAGTCCCCATTGCCAAGGTCACTGTAGACTTCTGACTTATCATCCCATGCTGTGGGCAGGCATCGCATTTGCAGACAACAAATCATCTTTTCTACACATCAATTAAAATCTCTCCTTGGTGCTCATCAGCTGATTAATGTGTCTGGTTGTTAATGTTTCCATTATATATGTTACTAGACCAGGGCCTAAAACACCCGTCAGTGGGATGTGCAGAGGTTTTTTTCCTAAGTTTCTAAGGGCTGGAACGTGTCCATTGGGAAAAGGTGGGTTGTTTGGGTAGAGAATGGTTTGTAGCTTATTGATCACTGTCAGGAAACAATTTGGCACCTTCCTGTCTTTGAAGTTGACACGAGCAATGAACCAACAGTTGGCCGACTGCACGAGCAGTTACCCAACAAACTCCCAGGCTCTTGTGTGCAGAGGGATTAAACACAGCTTGCTTGGGGTAGCAGTTAGAGCAGTTTGGCTGGCCATACTGCTGCGTCTTTGACTTGATGCCCTTCCGTCATCACCACAGAAGGTGTGAGGAGGAAGAGTGCATGCCTCTCCAGGTCCTGAAGGAGATAAACAGACCAATGACTGAAAAACATTCACAGGAAGCTATTTATCCTAGCTGCCCTGGATGCTTTGGGAACTGGATGACTCTGCTGTTAACTTACATCTCCCTAGCCTGACTGAAGGGGTCCCGTTGATACTGCTTCCCTCTTTCTGAGCAGTGCCTTGAATCCAGTGTATGTGCCCCTTTGACCAGCTTCAGAAAATACTAACTACCCTGAGGCAGGGAGAAGCAGCTCTTCCCCAGAGTTTTCCAGTCCTCGTGTCTGAATTCCCCTGGCCCCTTCTGCAGTGCCAGTTGGGACCAGTTGCTTTTCCTGTACTTTAACTCACCCAATCTGCATCCAGAACTCATGCTCCTTCCAGGTGCTGGGCAGACTGCTGTGAGCCCTTGGCAGGTGGGATAGATTTAACTGCTGTGTTTTCCCTTTTCCCCTTTCCCTCAGCTGGCAAGCTGGCTCATCTTCTCCTGCGATGCTCTATCTGCCTCCTGCATGAACACAACTGCCTCAGCTACTTGGCAGCAAGCGTGGGTATTTTGGGCCCCTGCCACTGACCAATCCATAGCTGGAGTGATTCCTTCTACTGGCTGATTGATGCCTTCTGCTGCAGATTGCTGACCACTGCTTATTGTCAGCTGGTGCTGCCAGGAAGATGCTGGTGAGGAAGAGCTTGAGGGAGGTGTTGAGGCTGTAGGAGCTACTGAGCCTATCGTTGCTGCCCCCTGGATGGGCACAGGCTGCTAGTGCTGCTGGGAAGGCAGAGCCTCAGCGATGGGGATATAGAGAGGCAGTCTGGCATCCGAGGAATTGGGGCAGGAATGACACCTTGGCACCTCCGGGAGGAAACCATGTGCCTCTGCTTCCGGGTGATCAGAGAGGGCCCTGCAAGTATAGGGATACAGAGCTCTCAGTCCTGTTAAAACTGCCTCCTAGCTCAGGTCCTGCAGCACTTCCTGCTGCACTAAGTCACTCCTGGCTCTTAGGGCTTGCATTTAAAACAGCAGTGACAGAGCTCAGAAATGAGTTCAGCATCCCCAGGTAGTGTCAGTGCTGGCCCTTGCACCTTATCCCAGTGTTCTCTGCCCATCTCGATTCATTCCTGATTCCATTCCTGATTCAAGGCCTTGCATAAGGTTGTCCCAGCTTTGGGACCTGTTTGGTGTCATACCAGGTCTGTAGACGGAAGCAGTGCCGTGGAAAGTATTGATGTCATTCACTTCTAACTGGCTTTGTTACTAAATCCTAATCACAGTTAAATTAAGACACTGTTTCCCTGTAAGCAGGAGCAGAAACTTGGCTGAAGGGAAGGGGGAGCTTTGTGTCAGTAGTTACACTGTGACTCACCCAGCCCAGGCTCTGACATCAGCATTTTCTAACCAATTTTGTCCTGGACCGGAGGCTCACTGCACCAGTGGAGACCTGCCCACTGCTATGCACAGCTGTGAGCTAAGACTGGGTTTAACTGTCCTCCAGCTGTCTAGTCCTGCCCTGAGCCCCAGCTGCCAGAATAGGGGGAGTCATTAAAGCTTTCCTACAGAAAGGAGAGATGTGGATGGCTGGAGCCCTGGCTTCTCTGATCTGTCCCTTCTCCTGTGTCCTCCATAGACCCTTTTGAAACATCACTCACAGAAACTTTGCTTTCCCTGAGCCCTTGTTTCCCTCGGGCTCCCTGTGGCACTGCTTCAAGCAGCTGTCACCATGCCACTGGCTTCCTCTCAGTCCCTGTCAGAGCCATATATTGATTATATATTATATCTTCCATGAGGCCTCTTTAGTGATGCTGCTAAGCAGATGTTTGTGCTGAGCCACACTCCAGAGACCTGGGGTTTTGTTCAAAGCTTCTTGCAATGTGTGTTGGCTCATGCTGAGGATCTCCTGCCACTGTTTTGCTTTGACACTGGGGTGTTGGCAGAGTTGCTCCTCTTGACCCCATACTCGTGCAAGCAGGAGGGTGTTCACCATCACCTGGGCACATCCCTTTCTCCATCATGGTCCTCGTGCCTGAGCTGCAAGGGGAAGTCTTCAGCACAGGGGTCATTCCCACATGGCTGAGCCTTCCTCTCCCACTAGTCCTGGCCATACACATGTACCCTGTCCTGCTCCTTTGCCTGCCCACTCACCTTCCTCTGTGGGAGAAAGTTAGCTAGGGAAGGAGATGGATATTAAACAGATTTTTTGCCTGCCTTTCTTATTACCTGAATCATTTGAGAGTGGCTATAGAGAAGTCAGCAGAAGAGTGATAGTGTCAGATGATGATGATGTGCAGCTGGAAAACAGCTTCACTGCTCTTTCTGCAGTAGGGTTAAGCTCTTGTTTGTCCCTAAAGCTCCTGGTGGCAGTTTGCTCTCGAGCTGAGCTTTGCTTCAGAGCTGAGCTCTGCCCTGGAGGAGAAGCAGAGGTGGGAGCAGTGTTGGAGTCACTGGCTCTGCACTTCCCTTCCTCCTTCGGGCAGGATCTCTTAGTGTTGGTTTTCACAGCTGTGCCAGCCTGTGACAGCTGCCCTGCAGTGTGTCTGAGTCAAGAGGGTGGCCTGGCTCCAGCCTGGAGCCCCATCTTCTCCCTCTCTCGCTCTTTTCCAAGGAACATCAAAGGTGCTTGCTGGTATTTTTGAGCCTCTGAGTTTGGAAATGGGCCAGTTTAGCCCTGGCATTTGTTGATCTGATTTACCAGCATGACAGAAACATGATGGGTGCTTTCTTCCCAAGGAGAAAAGGGAGGGAGCTGCTGGGTAAGCCAAGCCAAGAGGGACAGACCTGTGTCTCCTGACTGTCTCCCCACCTGTGTTCCACTGTCTTCCCATGCCTGTTTCCACCAGGCTTGGAACAGGTGATCTCTGCTCCAAATTCAGCCAGCATTGCTGTCATTCCATCCTCGAGGCATCTCTCCCTTACCCTTCCTGGGGGTTCATAAGCCTATTTAAAAGCAAGGGCAGCCTTTTGCACTCTGTGAGAACTCTGTGTCAGCCAGGCTTAAGGAGGAGAAACTCCACAAAGTTGAGCCATCTCTCTGCCATGTGGCCCAGTTGTCAGGCTCTGTGCTGGATTTAACTCGGGGTCTTTTTGCTGTCCAGGGAGAAGTTTGCATGCTTTTGGGTTCTCGCACCTGTGCCCGATAGTCCTGCTCTCCTGTAGAGGTTTCTGAAGCTTTGGCAGTTCTTCCTCATGAGTCCTCAAAGTTGGCAGCCACTTTTTAGGTGCCTCTTTTGTGCTTAATCCTGAGCTAATGCTGATGAATCTGACTGAGAACGGGAACTGAGCTCCCTGGTGCTGCCTCAAGCCAAGGACAATGTTTCCTTCCCTAGTTTCTGGCTGCGGTGAAGGTTTCAACTCTCCCAATTCTCCCTGTGGTGCTACCAGCTGGCAGAGACCTGCTGTCACTCAGGGCAGATGCACTCTGGCTTGAGGGGTTCCAATATGCCAGAGCTTTGTCCATGCACAGCCCTCACTCCAGAAGGGATGACAAAAACGGCAGTGCTGTGGGATCCCTCCCACAGTTCCCTGGGGAGCTGGGCTGAGTTCAGGTCATGGCTGACAAGTCTTTTGGGATTCTTCAGCCTTTCACCTGAGTTGGAGAAGTAGGTCAGTGCATGGGTACTGCAATCAGTGCCAAGCACACCTCTCACATGCACAGAGTGTTGTAGTCCTCTTGCAATGCTTTGGCTTGATAAAGCCCCTCTGTTTGTCCCACGTGCTGCCTGGTGTCCCCCATCTTCCTGATGCTCTTCGCTCTCTGTTTTGCAGAGGAGGATGTGGAAAACTTTGATGTGACAAACCTGTCGCAGGATGTTTTACGGAGTATCGAAGCTGATAGCTTTTGGTGCATGAGCAAGCTGCTGGATGGGATACAGGTGAGCCTCTGGGGCCATAGAGATTTCTCTTCCCTTGCTGGGGTAGCAGTGTGGTTGTCTTTTCTCCCTGTCTGGGTGAGCGTTCTGCACATTCCAGCATTAGGGAGATTTTGCTACTTCACCAAGCTAAATCCGTTAGTAAAATCCTAGGGAGATGGGTGCTGATGGCACTGTCCTGACTAGGGACTTCACAGCAGGCAGGTGATCCTGGTGCTCAAGAGCCATGTCTCCTTGGCTCATGACAGTCTCATCTCCCTGTCAAACTGGTGATCTGGTTCTGATCGTTTCTAGCTGTTGTTAAAGCTGCTGCTTCTGACTTGTGGCCTCTCCCCACAGGACAACTACACCTTTGCACAGCCGGGGATCCAGAAGAAAGTCAAAGCTCTAGAGGAGCTAGTCAGCCGGATTGATGGTAGGTGACACGGGAACCTGATCATGTTGGCTCTTTTGTCATAACAGCAGGAGGCCTTCTTTTTAAGTAGTACTCTCTTTGTAAGTAGGGCAGGGGTAGACAGTTGCCTACAACATGTATGGAAGCATAGGAGGCTGGGGTCAACCAGAAGCTTCCTGGTGACAGGATTTGCTGGCTGGGTAGCACAGGGTGAGGAGTGGAGGAGTTTGGGAGAAAAAGGTCTCAGCCTGGAAGTGGGTGAAAACCAGTGTGTTCGTAGCAGTGTGCAGGACCTGGGGCACTGTGGTCCCCAGGTGTGTAAGTGAAATGTGCTGTTTCAGAGCAGGTACATAATCACTTTAGGAAGTACGAGGTCGAATACCTGCAGTTTGCCTTTCGCTGGATGAACAACCTGCTTATGAGGGAGCTGCCTCTTCGCTGTACCATCCGCCTCTGGGACACCTACCAGGTACACAGGTTTCCACTGACTTCCCTGCTGGGCATGTCACTGTGGGGCCGATTCCCTGTACACGAGAGGACAGAGGTCTTCTAGCACCAGCTGGGGAGATGAGGGAAACAAAGCAGTGTGGCCCCAGGACAATTATAGTCAGTTGGGTGATGGGTGACCCAGTAGGACATTATCCAGGGAAGTCGTTCTCCAGATGAGCTGGAGGAGCTGACCCAGAGTTTTGCTCTCCACAGTCGGAGCCAGAAGGATTCTCACATTTCCACCTGTATGTCTGCGCTGCCTTCTTGATCAAGTGGAGGAAGGAGATCCTAGATGAGGAAGACTTCCAAGTAAGACACTGAGGTTGAGGATAATTCCATGGGGGTAAAGGGGAGGGAATTGCTCTAATTGGGAGCCCAATGTGGACAGTCAGCTGTCATCTCAGAGCAGGCTCCAAGATCATCTGGTCTCAGGAGCTTTCCCTAAAAGTAACTTTTGAGCCTTAGTGGTAAGGACAGAGAACTGAGCTGTTGGACAGTTCAAACATGACATACCAGCTCTTCCCCTCACCTGAGCTCTGATCACGGTAAGTGATTGCTTTCCTGTGTCCAGCTGTAAGCCTATAATAGCACCCTTTATCTGAAGGGGCTTGGAGGCATCTGAGGTGCTTCACTGATTCAGATCTAGACACAAGCACATCTTAATGCTGTCTCTGAGCCTTTCAGACCTGTGAGTGTGGTGACCAGAGCTGCTGCCTATGGTCATTCCGCCCCCAAGCCTGCTCTGGATCTGTACTCTGCCTTCAACTGCTCCAAACTAAGCATCTTCCCTTCTTTCAGGGCCTTCTGATGTTGTTACAAAACCTGCCCACAATACACTGGGGTAACGAAGAAATTGGACTCCTGCTCGCTGAAGCCTACAGACTCAAGTACATGTTTGCAGATGCCCCCAATCATTACCGCCGATAGGTGCCCAGACTTGACTCACTCCTCTCTCCCATGCCCGCTCCGTCGTCCTGGCCCGATCTGATCACTGTGGCATTTTTGTCATCCCAAGTCCTTGGACACTCCAGCTGGGAGCTGATCCTTGCTGTACAGAGCTCACATCAACTCTTAACTCTTAACGTGTGCCTGTCTGCCACTCCATGCGCCTGGATGTGCCATTTTGACGACTGTCAGTATTTTATACCGTGCTGGAGGCTCAAGCCAGGAAGGGAGGCTTTAAGGGGCTGGGGGAGACCATGGAGGGAAGGTTTACAGATAAACCAGAGCTGAAGATGAAGCCTTTCTGTCCTCTCCACTCCCTGCCCTGGGCTTGTCTGCCTCACGTTAACCTGCACCACGTGCACCACCCCATCTGCTCCTTTCTCTCTTCTGACACTGCGCCATCTCCCAGACGAAAATGCCTTATCAGAGACCTGCCTGGCCGGAAAATCCTTCCCCACGAGGGTGGCAGGGCAAGAAGTTTCTCTCAGGGCCTACCTTCGCTCCGAGGGTCCAGAGACCCCAAGCACTTTGTGGGTTCACAAGAGAGTCCCTCGTGCCTGCCCTCCCTCCTTCTCTCCATCCTCTTCACCTACCTCTCCCCCAGGGCAGCGGGGCAGGCATGACAGGGCCGATGAGCACTCCATCCACATACAGTTCGAATTATGTGTGCCAGCTTGATGGAACTTTTGGTGACTGATGTTCTGTGAGTACAGCCCCCTCCAGTGTGTGGGGGAGGTGCAGGGCGGGGCTGGTAGGGGAGCAATATCTCCCAAAAGCTCCTTACAAAGCTCCCACTCCTCCGGGGTGTTCTGTGTATATTGTGTTCTTGTGTATATGGGTCAAAGATGTACAATATATGTCTTCTCTTTGTAGCAGATTTTATATTTATAATGTGCACCCCTTGTTCTCCCCATCCTCTCCATGCCCAAGAAGGATGCCTGGCTGTGGTGTCACAGGGCTTTGGACCACTCTGGAGGTGGGGGGGTGTTTCAGACCTGCAGGTAATGTCTGTCCCAGTATGTGCTTGCAGTGTTGGGTCTGCCAGGAAGAGGTGCCATAGAAATAGAGATCTCAAGGCATCCCCTACAGACAGAATTTGGGTGGTTAGAGGAGATGGGAGCTTCCAGCAGGAAGCAGGGCAGAGCTGTGTCCAAGAAACAGGGTATCCAGGCTCATCAGCTGCTGGCAAGTGCCTCTCTGAGCACTGCCGGGTAGAGACCTGCCAGTGCTGGCTGGCAGGACTCTACAGGGAGGAATGATCCTGGATCCAGCACTGGCTGTCCCTGGCGCTGTCCAGCCCTGTGGACACACCCTCCCAGGAATGGCAAAAGGATCTGGCTGGCCTTGCTGCATCTGCTTTTAAATCAGGCAAGCTGGGAATGTTTTAATGCACCATTTTCTTCCCCTGGGCAGAAACCATCTGCCGCATGCGAAGGGCTGGAGTCAGGAGGGCATGAGGGTAGGAGGGCATTGGGCAGGAGACCCAATCTGGGCCACCTTGGGTTTCTCCTAGCACTCCTGCTGTGCCATGAGGGCTGTCTTGGTGAGGAGGCTCCTGGTCCCTCTACTTTCCATTTCTGTTCCCAGTGGAGAAAAAGCAGGGGGCAGCGAGGCCGGGGCCCAGCATGTGACAGGTACAACCTTGTTGCCAATAAAACTCCAAACAGTATCTCAAGAAATCACTTTCCTAACCTGGAGTTGTTTCTCTCAGGCATTTGTCTGTGTGTGCCTTTTGTTGTTTTCTCTGAGAAACAGACCTGGTGGTCCTTAGCTGAACATGAATTAAAAAACAAAAGAAAAAAACAAACAAACCAAAAAAAACCCCCACCACCACCAAACTCAACAAAAAAACCCAAATGAAAAACCAAACCCAACAGCAAAAACATCAACACAACTCCAACCTATCAACTGAGCTGTGTGGGTCAGGCAAGTGTTTGCAGTGCACCACTGCCGGCAGGAACATGAACCTGTGCAGGGAAGGAAAAGTGCATCTCGGGGAAGAGAGACAATGCAAAAACCATGCTGAGAAACTCTCCCGAGGCACGTGACAGGGATCAGACCCAGCTGCAGGGTCCGTCCTGCTGCCTCCACATCCCATCTGCCGGCAAGTCCCACCGTCCCTGGTCCAGCACCACCAGGAGATGCAATTCAAGCCCCAGACTGCCAATTCCCATCCCTTCAGGGCTCTCAGCCAGCTTCCCCATCAGCATGCTGCTGTGCAGGGCTCAAGGTGGGATTGCACCCTGCAGCATCCAGCCCTGTCACCCATTGCACAGGGAACAACCTCATCCCCAGGAGATGGTCAAGGACAAGAAACCCCTCTGTGTTTCACTTCCCCATTGCTCTTTGCAGGCTTTCCACCTGCATCTGGGACAACTGAGATGATTAAAAGCCATCACAGTAAGTTCTAGATTTCAGGACAACACTAGCAAGGAAGAACACTTCTTGAGGGTAGTGTTTTGGTTTTTTTCATACATTAGAACATTTATTTCTCAGAGAGAAAATATAGTCTCAGACAGTCAGATTATAGAAGGTAAAATTATGTTTTTCTTTTCTTTACAAGCATAGATTTTCTTATTACCCCTCTTATACCATCTGATATAAACAATTCTAGAAATCAAATAAACTCACTTTCTACAATAAATAGAGCAATCTGTGCTTTACAGCAGACTGACAGTAACATTTAGGTTCCGTAGCAACAGCAGGACATTAGCCAATTCAAATTCTAAAATGTCATTTTGAAAAAAACAAACAAAACAAAAACCAAAACAAAACAAAAAATCAAACCAAAACAAACAAACACGAAAAAAACCACCTCCCAAGACCTTAAAGCATATACACAGGTCACAAGTCCACAGCTGAGCTACCACCTAGAAAAGTGTATGTTCCTTTAAATAAATTACACTGTGTGCATATAAAAGACCCAGCAACACAACTGAGGACTTCAAGAATAGTGACAATAGGTCTGAATAATTTAGAACATTTTACAACTATATACACAACATCCTTCCCTAGCCACATTCCATAGGTGTATTATCACTATTAGTATTTTTACAAACCTATGTCCTACCTCTATATGTTGCAGGAATCTTAAAATTCCTTCAAATGTGGTTCCATGCCCCAGTGTATAAGAAGTGGCATTTTAAAAAAGTAGACCAAATAGAAATGGCAGTGATTAGTCCCCACTATTCATTATCATTCTCTTCAGTATGAAAAGGTTAAAAATAATTTAAAAATATTGAGTTAAAAAGCAAAGTGATATTCAATCTACAATCTTACTTTGCACCTTTGGTTCTTGAAAATGGGAAAGCAAAAAGAGATAAGCAACAGAACAGATCAGAGAAATCATAAAGTCCTTGGCTAATAGAAAAGATTTTGCCATCAAGTTTCCAGACATCAGTTTGTCCCCGTGTTTTGCAATGCAAACACAAAACAACAGGGATTGTCTGCAGAGCTGGGTTTACTTGGCTTTGGATGAATGACAACGCTGGAGACCCACACACCAAGGAAAGGATATGTCTGCATGGCAGAAGGGGAAATGGCAAAATGGTTGTGTGCTCTCGTTAGCGCTTGGTTTCAACCCGAACTGCATCAGAAGAAAACATTAAAGAGACAGAAAAGAGAGAAGAAAGGAAGAGGAGCCTTACACCAAATGTGCATAAACCAACACAAAAGATGTATCTCCCTCCAACCCTGATCAACCTCAGTACCTGCAGAGCTGCTTCAACTCTACTTAGACACCTTCAAAATTACTTTTACTTCTTAAAAAAAGGAAGTTATCCTTGCTTAGATTCCGTACTGCACAGTCATGATATGAAATGTAACAGCAGATTCACAGGTACAAAATAAATTTCTAGGACATACATATACACACAGATCAGGTAATCTGCTTTTCATCTTTAAAGCTCTGTGCATCTGTGCATGTAACTGTGTGCAGCAAGGGGGGGAAGGTCATCAGTATATCTCAAGCTTTCCTAAAGGCAATGAGAGAAATCTAAACATGAAAACACTATGTACATAGGCAGGAAAATCATAATGTGAACTACCAGCTATGATTTTTGTGGGTTTTTTTATGTGATAGGACAATATCATTTAAAGAAAAATGAAAAGGCCTAGGATGGTTTGGGTAAATTTGGCACAAGAAAGTCAAGCTGGGATTTCCGTAAAGGATCCTTGTTCTGTTACAGTGGTGGCAGGTTCCCAGGAACTACTCCAGGCTAGCTGACAACTTACAAACCCTGGCAGCACAGGGGAGGCAGGGGCAAAGGAGGGTGCATGAGGACCAATCACCCAAGTGCTGCACTCTGCTCACTGCATCAACTCACCTTGGCTCCTATCACCTGTCAGCTTTTGCTAACTACCTTACTCCCAGCCCTGTAGACTACACAGTTCCATCTCTTGCCAGCTCTTCAGCAGACACATTCAGAAAGAAGCTGGACAAGGTTTTTTTGGCACATTTCACGGTACTTTGAGGACTGCTGAAAGCTGCCGGGAACAGTGTTCCCCTGCCAGTCAGTGCATGAGATGGTCCACTCTGCCAATGCAGTGAGCACCTTTACAGGTAACTGGATGTAATGAAGGGATGGTCTCCGTGCACTCGGCTCATGTGGATCATGGCTCGGTCATATGCCACCTGCACAGACTTGCGGATGCTGGTTTTTCGTCCTTCCATCATCTTTAACTTGTCCACTGTGTCATCAACACCAAGGGGATAGACTTTGTCACGTGGAAGCCACTGCCTGCAGTAGAGAGCGCAAAGACCCGTCACCAAGGGTATCGAGAGGGAAAACGGGGAAAGAAGAGCAAACACCTGGAGGCCTCTCACCCTTGCAATACCTGAGCAATCAGCAGGGGTGCGACTGCTTCAGTGTACCTGGCTCATTCCTACTGCATGGCTGCTACAGGCCAAGGACATTCTCCTGGGAGTTTCCAGCTCCTCAAGCTTTCCCCACATATCTCAGCAGCCATTAATCACTGGCTGTTATCTCCTCTCCAGGAGCAGTTACGCTTATGTAATATATTTGTTTATCATTAACACCCACAATGATGCTACAAATGTTTAAATGCCTGCATTTGACATAGAAGAACCACCTGTAGCCAAAATGCCTTCCAAGCACAGTCTTCTCTCTCCTTGGAGTCCTTACTCAAGGCTTTCAATGCTTCTTGGAGCTACAGGGGAAACTCGGAAATCCCTGTGTTCCACAGAGCAGAAAATAATACAGGGGCTTCCATGGTGGAAAGTAAGTTTTTATCCCCAAGCAAGCTCTGTCTTGTTCCAAGAAGCTGTAAGCATTAGAGGTTAGGTGGGTACAACTATCTGAGTATCACCCAAAAACAGGCAACTTCCAGTTGACATGGCCGAAGCCCAGGCTAACCTCAATGGATGACTTTAATTGCAAATGCCTTGTCTGTAGCAGGTTTTTATTGCATCCAGATTAACCAGTACACTGAGAAACACGCCACCTATCTCTCTTAATGAAGTCCAGCCCCTAGGAGCTCAACCTCAGCCACTGCTAGCACAGTTCAATGCATTTCCCAGCCAGCCAACATGGGCGACCCAGGGCAGCTCAGCTTATCTTCACCACAAAGATGAGGGACAATTTCAGTGTTTGTGACCCTTCTGCAACATCATTGAAGTCAGTAGAAATTTAGGACTTTCCTGAGGTGCCTTATCTTCCCACAAACTACAAACAAGGCTCTAAGGGGCCACTTAAGAGTGTAAACATGCAGCAGAGCTTGTATTCAACAAGAGCAGGGCAAAGCCAAGGAAATGCTTATTTTTGTTGGAAAGGTAGTTTCAATTACAAGCTTGGATTTAGGTTTTTCAAAATGATGACTACAGCATGGCACTGCCATTGATTTTCTGCTAAAAATCATTAGTACCTCTTTAAGGAACATGCTCCGTATCAACTAGTTCTGGTAATCAGGAACAGTGAAACAATGCAGTGTTCTAATAAAAAGCCTCAGGAGTTTGTCTCTTGACACCTCTTTTCCCCAGAGAACACAGAAATACTCCTCAAGTGATGTATACGTGATCACAATCTCAACTTCCCAAGCAGATGGCATATACTTTGCCTGCACTGCACCTTGTCTCCATCTCTTTAGATTGCATAAAACACTGCTGCAGCCCCAAAATGTAAGGGGAAACCCTCTCCCTTGCTGCTTCACCCCACTATGTGTTTGGCTCTGCTCTATTCCCAATAGTGTATCTTCCCTCCAGCCCTGACACCACCTTCAGGCAATGTTCACCTCCTTCCTCCAGCCTCTGGCCCTTCCCTGATCTCATGCTTCACTACTCTTCCAGGAATGCCAGCAAAAACCTTCCTCAGGAGACTAAGGAGAAGGGCTCTTGAAACAAGGCTTCTTTTTAAATTCCTGATACATTATTTTATAGAGGCAGGAGAAGGAAAGGCAAGCCCATCTATCTTCTGTTCCCACAGCATCCCAACAGTCCAGCATCTGCTCTGTCTGCAGTATAAGCTCTCTGATCTGTGATACCAGCTGCACACAGATATTGCCTCCTGTGTGTGACAGCTTATTTGCGTGGTTCATGTTCCCATGTGGTACATTCAGTGGGCTCAGCATGTGGCTGTCACCTCTTTCTTTTCCAGTATAATTCTCCAATTTTACAAGTTTCCCATTGTTTCATACACAGATTTCAGAGTCTTTTTAGTATTCTTAAGGCACTTCACTTGTTTATGACTTATTACATCTGGGTGGTTTATTGTTACCATGTGAGCATGGTCGGCAATTAATGCTAAAATCAGCAGATTCAGTCTGTCTGAAGCAGAACAACAAAGGCCTTGAGATATTTCACTTGCTTTGAACCTACGTACTTACACCTACATTTTCCATCCTAAACAAAGATCTTGATTTGAAAACTGCAGGTACTCAGCACCTCCGAAAAATCAGCCAAGTCTAAATATGAAATAAACTCAGCATTTTAAAAATGTTACCCTGGAAATTTCTGGCAAATCTTTTGTGCAGCATTGGAACAGGCTGCTTAGTCTGCTAGTGTTTTAAAGTCAAATGCTCTCTGTAATTTGCTGCAAATTGACTCTCAGTGTGCCTCAGTATTTTCGTGGTGATGTGACCCTTGAGTGTAGGATGCTGGACTGTTCACTGTGGAACTGTGAGATGTTGTGTGACTGGGCTGGGAAAAGCAGGCTGTCTTTTTTATTTAGACTCTTCTTGACTGCTGCATGTTCAAATTCTCCAATTTGCACATAATATCATCATCATCATAATCCCTGTGTGCTCCCATATACCAAAGATTATGTTAAATCTTCCTTCTCTGCAACAGCACTCACCACAGGCCTGTCTGCACACACTCACCAGGTTCTCTTGTTGTCAAAGAAAAGGACAAGGAAGAGCTTTTCTCCTGCCTCTGTCTGCCTCTGCTCCCCCAACTTCAACACATCCATGGGCGGGACAGGGATGGGGACTCCATTGTGAAGCAAACCCTCACGCGGCATCTTGGGGTCGATTATCTAGTGACACAGGGAAAGGATATTGAAGAACAAAATCCTTCCAAGTAATGAAGATAAGGCATTTTTTTCTGTTCTTTCAGTCTATCCAAGCTAGACAAATAAGTCTACTTTGCATGGTAAGCAAAATTGCTTGTTACGTTTCAGTGGCTCTTTCTAAAAAAACTTTGTCCTCGAGCCTTCCCCTGTAGGAAGCCAGTCAGTTCGAAAGTCAGGCATCCAATCTTAAAAAAGTGAAAGGATCTAATTAATATGTGGTTCTGTGTGGCTGTAGATGCATCTACACTAATTGGTAATTCAGTACAAACTCAGTATTGTTGTGTTCAGCAAAGATCTCCCTCCCTCACTTCAAAATCATACAATAAATGTAACAAGACTGCTGTACTCCACAGGCATAACATGATTTCACAACAGCTCCATTCTGGAACAACCCAGTTGACTTAAGTGGCATTGCTCAGATTTACACTGCTATTAGATTAAAATCAGGTCCAATATTCTGAGAGAGTTGACAAGCAGTGCTGGCTTCATCAAGCTAGGGTAACAGACTATAGTAATTTTGAAGAGAAGTAACAACAGATGCATCAATTCTCCCCAGTGTCCAAATTGTGCTATGTGATCACAGGAGGAGAACAAAACAGCAAAAGGTGGATGCAATACTCCATCTATTCTTCTTTGCCTCCTAAGGTCTTGAAAAAGTAGATTGGCTTTGACATTGGCCATCTGTAGTATTAAGGACACTTTACCACCACAACAGGCTGCTATTAAAAAAAAAAAAGCCTTTTTTGGAGGCAATCTCAGTGGTTAAATACATTCTAAACCACAGTTTAACTCTGGCTGCAGCCACACAGAGAACTAAAAATGCTTTTGTTGACCAAGATGGCTAGCAGATCCACAGCTGTTCCCTCCTCTGGGCTCCCACTTAGAGTAAGAGTATAGATGAGCGTCACACTTCCAGCAGAATCCGCCGTTTTTGATGGCATCAGAACTGTGCTCAGTCACAGCCAGGCCTGCACACTGTGTCAGCTTATGCCCAGTCTCACAGCTCTGCTGCTTGGATGTAGAGACCCCTCTAATTTCTGTAATGGCCACTTTCTTTTAGCCCTTACAATTTGTCAGCAGTCACAAGAGTTGTCTGTCCTTGCCATCCGAACCAGAAAGGTACTTAAGGGCATGGCTGCAGCCACACGGAAATTAAATGGAGCAGAGATGGCAGGAAAAGTCATATCTCAAGGAGTATATTTAAAAGCAGCAGAAACAACAAAACATGGTTAGCCTATCTCATGTTCTTACTCATATCCTTATTTCAGCAATCTCTGTTGACAACTTAACAAGCACTGAAATGCCTGCAGTGGTAGTGGCACTTCTTAGCAACACCTGCATGCCATGTTTTGCTTTGAAACCAAGTATGGTGCTCAATGAAGACAGGTTTATGGATTTCATAAACATGAAAAACATCCAAAGAGATAAATATTAAGGAAGTATTGTTCAAGGGACTAAGTGCAAATGCACATGAATATATTCTCATATTTAAATCAAACATGGTTACTGAAAGAGGATATACATGATAGGGCACCTACATATGGAGTTGTACTCACTACACAGAAAAATGTGCAGGCACTTAAGACAACAGTGGACCACGGTGCCTGCATTTATAAAATTTACGTCTTCTCATCCCAAAAGTACTAATTACTTTCAGGCGAGGGGAGGGGAAGGAAGGGAAGGGAAGGGGAGTTCCTATCCCTGACAATGAGAGACCAATGTTTTATAAATTCTCTGCAGTGCTCTGAAACAATGAGCACAGAGAAAATTAACTGTGCAAAGGGGAAAGAAAAAAAAACACATATTGCATTATTTTGGGAAGTTTTCCTTTTCTGTCTGGTTACACTGCACACTAGCACTGTATTCTGGGCTACCTGCACTGCAAGTACAGGCTGCGAGAGAGCAGCAGGATACTTACCAAGGCAGGGTAGGAAGGATAGCCACGGCACTTGGCCCACACAAGCTCCAAGGGCTCCAGCTCAGCCTGACTCTCAAAGGACATCAAGAGAGTTCTGCCTAAGGGACAGGAGGACACACGGCTTAGAAGGGCTATTACTAGCAAAAGGGTTATGGTAACACAAGAAACCACACTGTCATCTAACCCAGGTATGATGGCCCGCATTGTCTCAGTAGCAATCAGCTAAAATAGATGAATTACTGTTGTACTTAAAACCTCTGACAGAACAAAATGGAAAGCCACTTATTGTTTGTACCCACGTGCATTGGGTGGCCAAACGAGATGTGATATGATACACATCTCATCTGCAGTAAGTTTATGATAAAATTTAGTGTGCACTGAGCTCTAGCCTTCTTTATGCTCTGTCAGTACAGTCATGTTCAGCATTAAGATAAAGCCACAGCCTCTTAAATCATGGGTCCAAGTCTATGCATGCATGTAGCTTCACATGAACTCTTCAATATGGAAATATTAATCCAATTGAGTCACTGAAATCAAATGGCTATACAAGAAATGGATTTGGTCATACACATGAAATCTACCAGCTCATGGTCCTGGAAACGGAGTAATCTTCATTAAATGCAAATTTTATAGCAAGTAATGCTTGCTGTGGGGAAAATGATCAAACAACTGGCATTGAAAATTGAATTTAGAAAATGCTGAGTACAACCCAAGCGAGCACCCTGTCAAGACAGATTTGATGTGCTTCTCCACTATTGCATTCCAGACATATTCTTCCATTAATCAAATTATATTCTAAGACACAGAATTGTCCCACTGAGCCTAATTATCATGTTACCAGCCCCACTCTGTAAGCTTATCTCCAAAGAAGACTGCTGAACACACAAAGTCCAGGATAATAATGGTTCTCAAAGAGCCATGACAAGAGCCTGCACTCGGCAGCTGCACAGAAGGGCACGGGCGTTCCACGGCATCAAAGCTGAATTCTGATTTCAGCACAGACCTGCAATAACTCTATCGCTGACATACCATAAGAAAGACAAGACTCTGGTTGTGTGAGCACTGAAAGAATGGTGTAGTGCCTTGGGTAGTGACAAGTGAGGAGTGTGACAATTTTATAGACATACAGCACAGTTTGACAAAGACAACTTTCTTATGAGGACCTTGCAAGCAATACAAGAGGGAACAGCTATGAAGTCATCTCCAGAGAGACCCCTCTTACAATTAACTCTTTGTATTGCAGCATCATTAAAGAGAACTAGTCCCAAAGCAGGAGAAGACAGTGCCAGGCACATTACACGCACCAGCCCAAAAGAAAGTATCCTTCCAAGGAGAAGACCGGGCATAAGCAATCAGCAAAGGTGAAAGCAGGAAAAATCTTTTATGCAATAACCTAAATTTGTAACAAAGCAGGTAATAATGCCCAGGCAGGTCAGCAGCCTGATCATAAAACCTGGATAGGTTGTCCAGGACTGGTTCCTGGTGTGCTTTGGGATGTGTTCCCTTTGGTTTAGATGGATGTCAGCCCTACAGTGCGGTGGGACCAGAGCAGTGTGTGCTGTGCAGCAATTCTCACCTGAGCCACTGAAATCAGGATCTCCATTCACACCTTCCACGAAGGGCATCCGAGAAAGAGCTGGCTTTCCTCGACTGCGCTTAGGAGGCATCAAACCACTGTTAGAAAGATATGGAAAAGAAGGGCATTAGGAGAAAACAGATTATCCTTGAAAACAAGGACAAGGAAACAGATTCCCCAGCTCTGTCTAAAATACTGAAAAATTACGGCACTTGGTGCCTCACTGACATGAAAAGAAAACTGAATACTTGAGCAAAATGTGATCTCTTCTGGTGAAAGCACAGTGGACATCATCCCAGCTTTCCCATTAACTATGAAAGGGCCTAATAGAAACCAAGCCGTAAACATGAGAAAGAAACCCAGCAAAGACGTCACACTTGAGAGCTGATGCAGTGATGCTTTTGGAGTTTTCATGAGCTATGCCAGTTGTGTATAGACTTATGACTCAGCAGCCCTCCAAACCAACTCCAATATGCAACTGGGCTCCTTCAGCCCATATCCTGAATGCCCTTTCACCTCATTACTACAATACTACAAACATTTCAGAAAACGGACTATCTTCACCTCAAGCAATCATATTTTTTCATATATTGTAATTATTTTCTTCTTTTACAGTTTCCTAATAAGCAACCTATTCTGAGTGACTTTGGTGCTCAAAGACTGGAGAAAAAGCAGTCAACAGAATTGTTCCTAAATAGAATAATTGTACAAGTTATCCATGAGACATCAGCTTGGTTTTAATTCCTTGTTTTGGGGGTGTCACATAGCTCTAATGTAATTTTTACTATGTGAATTGCTTGCAGTTCTTGCAATAAGAACTTAGATCACAGTTCTCGTCTTCACAGTACTGTACAAACATCAACTAATAAGTCCACACACTCCCTATGAATTCCCTATGAATTTGTGTCCATCACTTACAGATGGGGAAATGCAGGCAAATATGGTGGGGCCATAAGGCCAAGACATGGCCTGAAAGGCAATTTCTGGCTCCCGGTCTTGTTCTGACAGCATCCTCACCCCACCAAAGATTTCTGCATGACTCAAGGAACCCCATTTAAATGACACTATAACTATGCACAAATCCAGGTGTCTCCTTCTGTTTCCCTTCAATGCAGCTTCTCACAATAGTTTATTGCAATAACTTCTTGTAAGATCTGCACAGAGGTCATGGTAGCATCCAGCTTACAGAAGAAGCAATGACTGAGATGAAGATCTGGACACACAGCCCAGAAAACAGGGGAAGAGATGAAGTGCTGGGTGTGTGTCTCATCTCAAAGAAGAGCTGAAGGTTCTACGCCTACAAGGGGCTCAGCATGTGCAAAGAGAGATAATTTACTGGGGTGCCACATGCTGCCCTTGGGTTGCCCAGCACCTGACTGTGGAGGTAGGATCACTCTGCGACAAAGAAAAGTCCTTGCATCAAAATTGCTCCTCCAAACCCAGGGCCTTGCCCTTTGTCATGGGCATGAAAGACTTTGCAAACAGATTTACAATGGAAACACTAATCAAACCTTAGCTACAAGTGCAAAATTATACGCCTCTTTGGGCAGCTAACATTTAGGATCCCTCTGCCCAGCAGAGCAGAGTTTTCATTTGAAAAATGCTCCTGTGTTTCAACCCTGCTGCAGAACAATTTTTACACAGCTAACAGTTTTGAACTGTTGTTCAGCCCTGAGAATGGGTGCACACAGGCATATAGTTTTAAGGGCCCAACTTAAACTTGCCCCATTGCAAGCTTGAAATCTGACACAACTGAGTACATGCATTGTGAGGAAGCACAAAACGTCCAAACGTATTCCTCTAGTGATGGGTCATGTTCAAGGCACTGCAAACATAACCACAAATATCAACTAAAAACATCTTGCTTCTGTCTGTCCTGGATGATCTTACCCATCAAGCTCAAATGTGCTCAGCCTGCCACTCAGAGCACACACAAACGTGATTCCGGCATAACAGAGGTTTTACTGTGCAGTTGAAAGGGCTGTGAAATAACTTAAATCAGTGTTAGGAGGGCTGGACAGGTAAATAAGACCAGAAAATTGACATGGCACCCATACGTACCTACTGAAATTGACCAAAAGATGTCAGGTGTTTGCTCTAAGTCTGTTCTAAGTCATGTTTGAAGCACTTAGTTCTACTTTTAAACTTCTGAGAGGAAGAAAGCAGCAATTCAGTAGCTGGCAGAAGTTCAGCTTTACGTGCAGTGCTGAACTGAAAATCTGAATTCAAGTTTTTTCCAGTTTTGGCTCTCAAGGACTGCAAGGCATTCATCAGCAGAGAGAATGTGCATGCATTGAGAGAGACAAGTGTAACAGATACCCACTTGCTTGAAAAATCAAGCCCTGCTTTTGGGACCTATAGCTTAAAAGAAGAGGACAGAAACACAGCAGCTTTTTGTCTTTTACAGTAGGCACAGAAATAACAGTCTGGGCTAGGTTTAAAATGAAGAAGTCAAAGAACAAAAGCAGAGAGATAAATCCAGACACAGAAGGTGCTCAAGGGCACAGTTTTGCATGGGGCACTTACCTGCAGGATTCAAACACCAGTCCACTGCCCAGGGCAGAGCTGCACTCGAAGTCAGAGCCACTTTCTGCATGCTTTGCAAAGCCATTAGTCACTCCTGCCGAGGAGACAAATGGGAATGACAGGGACTGACTCCTGAGAGCATTCCCGAGCCCAGAGCACGCACAAGAAGCCAGATGACAATGGCCTTCCCCCATCCAGGCACCCACCGCCCTCAAGTTCCCATGGGCTCACCAAAAGTCCAACAGCCATACATACAAAAGGCAAACTCATGGCAAAGTCACTATTGTTTTTTCTAGGTGTAAATATCGAATTGCCACAAGGCGCACATTTCTGGGAAACACCTTGTTATGAAAATCCTATTCACAATGACCTGCTTCTGCAGTAACACAGATTCATCACAACAGACACTCCCTCCCGTTAGGAGAAATCAGTTGTGTCTGAAATCATGGAAGGAGATGGGGCCGTATCAAAAAAGCAGTGCTGCAACTTGAAAAAAAGCCAGTAGTGCTGCTTCAGCTGAGGAGAAACGTCACTGCGTAGTTATCAGTGATTTTCCAGCACCTTGCTTTTATTTGCCCTTTTTTTAATTTCAGCCTCTCATTCTGACCTGTATCCAATGCAGATGACAACTTTCTCCTTTAATTACCAACAGATGATGATGGCGAGTCCCTCAACTCTACAGAAGTCATTTGTGATCCCTTTAACCTGTCCTGGTAAGTCCATCTCCACATTCAACTGCTTTCCTCTCACTCTCAATATGCTAGCAACCTTACGATAGCCTTATAGTTATGAGGTAATATTTGAAGTGTAGGCCAAGTCAAACCTTACAGATGGGAACTGTCCCACAATAGCTGTTCACACAGAATTAAAAGAAATTACAGTGCTGTCACTCAGATGTCTCTTTCCTCTCGTGCCTTTCCAAATTTGACCTCAGCTGCTTATTCTTATTTGCAGATCTAATTTGAAAAGGAATCTTCTTGGTATTCCCACCAATTTTATTTAAACTCCAGAACTGAGAGTACAGCTGATTTAAAAGCAATGTTTAACATCTCATCTTACATGGGTGCTGTGTTACTACAGACGGTGCACACTTCCAACCAAATGCATCATTTCTGCAGCAGGAAACTCTCACTCCTAAGAGTGATCAAGCCAACATAAACCCTTCTATAAGGGCAGGAATGCCAAATCTCAGCCCAGAGTCTCCAGACAGGCTACTCAACAGCTTTGCAAGCAGCTGGGCACATTAGCTTGCCCTACACAAAATGGAAAACTCTCTCTTACAGCAGCCATGCAGACTAGCAAAGAGAAGAATCACTTGTGACTTCCCTGGGCTTCATCTTGGTACCTCTAAATGTCTAAAATGGAGGTGACTAGAGCTGAACTAAAATACCAAAACCAACATGTACGGTCAGTGGAGAAGAGAAGTGCAACTCATTATGGACATGTCTTGTCTGCCCTGTTTTAGAAACATGTGGAAGAGATGCAGCTTTCACCAGGCCCATCTGGTCATGAAGCCTATGTTTTCTTCTAAGCATAAAGTCAGTTCCAGGTGTGTAGTTTGGATGCAGAAGTTTTTACTCAGCCCCAGGATTTCTATGTCCTCGGTTCCATCTCACAGTTTCCAAGGGAAAAGAAATCCCAAAGAACTGGGATTTCCAATCAGGTTGGAAAAGACGTCTGAGATCATCAAGTCCAACCCATAACCTAACATCACCAGGTCAACTAGACCATGGCACTGAGTGCCACGTCCAGTCTTTCCTTACCTCTCTGTCCTGCCTGCCTGGGTGACTTTTCTCGATTGCTCTCATTGCAGGTTCTGCTCTGTGGCCGCTTCCGAGCTTGTCGCTCCCCATCAGGGCAGGAGGGTGAAAGCTGCCCGCTCTGCCTGCGGTCCTCCCTGTTTTCCAGGGAGCAGTCCAGACCTCTCTGCAGCTTCACCCCGTTCTTAGCTTTTTTAAAAAGGACAGATGTTCGTCGGCCCACGCTGCTGAAGGAGGGGCTGGCAGGGGTGTCTGCAGGCGACAAGGCCAGTCCATTCAGGCTGTTGTTGGTGAGCAGGCGCTGGAAGGCTTGGCTCTCCCGCTGCAGAGCCTTCTTGTCAAAGAGCTCCCTGTCCAACACCACCCTCTTCTGCAGCTGATTCAAGGACTTACTTTCACTGATGGGTTTGAGTGTTGGAGGGTCCTGCAGAGAGTCTAGCTCCGAGAGGGAGGGTACAGGTCCTGTGGGCTCCAGGGTTGGAGGGTGCGGGGGCTTGGCATCATCTGCTAAAGGAGTAAAAAACCTGACTGAACATTTGACAAAGACTTATTCTCAAAACTACAGACAGCAATTCTCATCTTTCACCAGGGCCACAGACAGGAGAAACAGCAGGTCTTGACTGCTGACATGCACTTGAGAGCTGGAATTAAAATCCTGCTGCAACCTCTCACCTTTCTCCCTTTCCTCATCCCCATCCCTTGATGTTTTCTCCAGCCTCTGGTCCCACAGCACAGTCTCCCCCTTGGCCATGGTCTTGTTCTGCTGCTGGGCCAGTTTCTGCCGAATGGAGTTGATCTCCCGTCTCAGGAGCCGGATGCGTCGTGTCCGTGCACCACTGGACCGCATGGTGCTCACTATGTCTAGTTTTTCTAGCAGCTCCTTCAGCTGGGCCTCCAAGGAGAGGTGAGCTCGGTTCTCCGGGAGGAGGATGTTATCCACTGCATCAAAAGAGATTGTAACAGTGAAGGGAAGGAGTAAGGCTCCTTGAAGAAGCATCTGGGACCACTGCCACACTTCACTCCCTTTGATGCTATTCATGAATCAATCGCTTTAGTCTGGGGATTTAGCAATCATTAACTTTGGAGTTCTGACTTCCTTCCTTTGGGCAAAAAGCAGCTGATTTAACTTGCACTGCCCTTTAGTTCCCCTTACTGTCCCAGGGACCACAGTGAAAGGACGTGTTTGCACCCCACACAGAACAGTTCACAGTCTAGGTCCTTGTCAGAAACCTACTTCGTTGTCAGATAAAATGACAAAATCAGACCACAAACAGAACTGGTCAAAACATAACGTTTGCCATTCCTCTGGCTCTGTTGAAGGGCTGGCCTCCAAAGGAGCAGGACAGAGAGCTGAAAGACATACTATCGTACACCAACACAAATTTTACAATGACTCTCCATCTGTACCCAAGAGAGCTTCAACATTTAGGAAGCAGATGGCAGACTGCAAGCTCTGAGTGCTTCATATTGGCCTAAGTATTCTGTACTAAGTTTAGCCAAGTTATTCAACCAATGCTTTGGAGCTGCATCTCAAGAGGGCTGTAGGAATGGATGCAACCATGTTAGGAATGGGAAGTCTCAGCTAGAAGGATTGATTGGGTTCCACTACTTTGACTGCCCCATCACCCCCTCCCAGACCTCAGTGCTCCATTTAACCCAGTGGCTCTACACCTTGCCAATTTACAATACAAAGAAATGCATGAGCTTTCCCTAGAGCAAAAAATCCTACATCCACCTTTGCGCTGCTTTGTAAAATAGCAAGTTTGTACTACAGGCACAGCACAAATCAAAGAGCACGAGCAGTTTACAAGGCTCTTCCGAGACAGACATGCCCTAAGAGAGCTGGAGCTAAGCTGCACCTAGCTCAGAGTGCCCAGCTCACTTGAAATCCTGCTCTCTGAGTCTCTAAAGGAGTTAGATATATGCCTAGGTAAACAGATGGATAGGAAAAGTCTTGTATGTAGAATGATGGCTGTGATTTCTGTGCAGGCTGAAAGACATGCTCAGAACAAAAATTATGATCTGCCTGAGAAAAAAATGATAATAAGTACTCACCATCCTCCCAAGAAAAGCAGTAAAAGTCCTCGGTTTTGGGTGACTCAGGCAGGTGAATCCCCACACCAGTGTCAAAGCCAATGCTTTCAGCCTGCCGCCGTGCGTGACGCAATATCGCTCCTCCGAAGTCTCTGAGCCGGACAGCTGCTCGGTGGAAAATCGTGTCTTTAGCATTATACCTCATGCAGTTGGTAACTATAAGGTTAAAGTCTTCCTCAAACTCATCCAATGTTCGGTACAGGTGGGACTCCAGCTTCCGCCTCATGGTGGAAAAATCCATTGGGTTGGAAATGAATTCCAGGTAATCTGGAACCTAAACATATAAAACCTGTACAATTACAAAAACCATTTACTAGCCAACTAGAGTGCATCCATCATAAGCACTCTAAATGCCCTTTCCACTGGCAAGGGGCAGCGCCAGAAATTCATTTCTGTGTCACCCAGTCAAGGCAGACACACCCTGGCTCTGCAAAACATTACTTGTACAACATGTGCTAAAGTTTCCAGAAAAAAATGCCCTTTTTTGGCCCGGAGGGATACTCACATCATGAGTCCTTTTTCAGATATTCTTTAGTCCACCAGGAGCTTGGGACAAGGTAGTTTATGCTTCTAGGGTTATGACAGCACATGACCCTCTGCTCAGCAATATCTTATCTACAACCCACTAGACACCTCTAGGAAAGAGACTTGCCTCATTCAGGTTAACAGGCTCTGTGAAGATCTGGGCAGCATCCTTCTCCTGCAGTAGATCCAGTGTTGTGCGCAGAAGGACATTGAAAGGGGTCAGCTGTAGCTCCATAGCAGCCTGCTGAACCTTGACCTAGGAATGAGAAAACAGTGATGAGCACAGTTACGGAGGACAGGATACGTAAGTGGTGTTTCCCTCCAGTTTCTTCTGAATCATCACCCCGGCTCTACTCAGTGGTGGAAACCTCAGGTCGGCATACCACTAGCCTGGTAGACTCATTGCTGTAGAACTTCTGGCAAACGCATTGTGCTCTCCATGTGCAGGATGTACATCAGCAGACAGCACTTTACAGAGTCTAACTGCACAGTCCAATCCTTTTATATATGAGGAACTCCTGTTTATTCAATCTCGTCAAGTCAAAACAGGAGGAACCCCCCGAAAATTAAAAGATACTACAACTGAAAATGAAAACAGGCAGAGGCTTTTCACACTTGGTAAATTATCCTGTATAACTCCCTGCCTCAAGATATTATTATTATGCCAATTAGCAACAATATACAAAAGTTGAAAGTATGCAGGCGTTTACATGAACAACAACATCCATAATTAGACTATAGAGCATAAATAAAGTTTAAGATATAAGCTCTCAGACTTCAGGCAGAAGCCAAAAAACAACGGTGGTTTGATGTCTGCAAATTCCTAATACAGTTTCTCATATCCCTTATGAAGTCTCCAATACTATTTGATTTCAAGCAAACAAGTTGTGGTACTGAAAATCTATTCAAAGAAGACTGGAACAGGATAAAAGTATTTATTTGTCTTTTAACATTTTAATTTCTTTGATCTTATAATTGCTCGTTATGTCATTAAATCAACCACTCCAACAGCAAAGGTAAGCAAGTCTGTTTACACAAAGCAAACTGATGTGCTAAGCAACAAGACAGCATCAGTGAGAGAATGAATGAAGACAAGATATAAAGACCACACTTTTCCCCCAGAACAGGAAAGAAGTCAAACAAAGATGCATGATTCTGGAGCATCCTTCTCCACTCACCTAAAAGGTGGGCTGGGATAGAGCTCCAACTAGACACACTTTTCTGTGATATTTTATTGTTTTATAAAGCACAACATAGTTTCCACAAGCTTTTATAGATTTAGCTGTGGCAAGGATATGTCAAGATATCAAAGGTGAACAAAGCCCAAGAATGATTTTTTTTTTCATCCTCCTACCTAAAATATGTCCATACAGCAAGCAGGGCTGACCTACTGATGTAAATCAAGGACAATGGAGCAAATGAAGCAGTGCTGGCATCAAAAGGACTCCAGAAAAGCTATGGGTAATTTCTGGTCACAAAAAAATTGCTTGCAGAGGAGCTGTGATCACAGAGAATGCTGCTTTCCCTCTGCCTGGCTCCCTGCAGACAGCCTGAAAGCACCCAGGCAAGGCCTGAGGACACGTGTAAGGGCTCACTGTATGCAAGGTGAGCCTTTCATGAAGCTGTCCTTGAAGATACTCCTGCCAGAGAGCATTGTCGAGGGTGCAGCAACCAAAGGCGAGCAAAGACCCTCAACAGGAAAAGCTGGCAAGCATGGGAAGCAACCTTCACTGGTGCAACTTTGGAGATACGCACACAGCTCAAAGAGCAAACTGGAAAATTTAGTAAAGTGTCTCCATCATAAAACTTTTTCATCCAAAAAATGTACATAAAAGACAAATGACAGGAATTTTTAGCTTTAGAGATCAAGAGCTGAATTGTGATTTAGACCCTTCTCTGGAGTAGGTGTTACCAAACTCCTGAAATTATCATGAAAGGAGATCTAACTTCTACTCTGCAAAACCCTTGCCCAGAAATAGAAGGGATGCTGTAGGTCAGAAATCAAATCCACTATTAGTTATGCAAATACATTTTCCCAGCACTTTGCAGCCCAGCCCTGGTTCTGAGGGCAGAGGCTGCACAGTGCAAACCTGTGACTGACACAGGGAGAGAGAGTTCTGCGCACCCAACAGTCAGACTCTATGAAAAGAGGAAAAGGCTCAAGAAAAACTGTTGTGTTCCTCCTCTGTCTCCTGCAGCACAGAGTGCTTGCATGGGGCTGAAGTTAAGTGCAGCAACTCAACAGCCAAAACTACTCACCTGCTCCCGTTTGAGTTTTTCCCTCTTACGGATCAGCTCAATGAGCAGACGAGCCCGCTCCAAGTCATGCCGCAGTTTTTGCCAGTACTTCAGCTCTTCCTTCACTGCACTGGTCTTCTCATCCTGCTCCTTCTGTAAGATACAGCAGTGGGGTGAGATAAAAAACACAACTGGCTTCCTGTGTTTCCTTCTTTTTCTAGGCATCCCCACTGAATTGCTCTCCTCTTCCTCCTATTCACTTACCTCTTGTTTAGACTATGTCCCCTCCTTTCTACAGCATGTAGCTGTAACAAACACAACATCAGTCTTTCTAGATTTTATATTATCTCTGAAGTTAGCCTAAGTTATACTGTAGCTACGCTCTGGGAACACACTTCAGTGCATGGTCATTTACACCCTCCCAGGTTTTATATCCAAGTTTATTACAGAGGCTGGAAATTTTTCTGTTGGCTGCTGTGCATTGAAGCAGCAGCCCAAAGCATTTACAATATAAAGGCAAGGTGACCAAAAGCAGGGGAGGAAGGAGCTATTATTATCCTCCTTGTAACCAATAAGAAATAGAGCCATGGAAAGACATTTGCCAAAATACAAAGGAACAGCCAACACTAGGAGATGAGCTCACACCTTCCAAGACAGAAAACCTATCCAAGTTCAGTGGCTTCTCAACAAAATCACCCTTCCTCCCCTAAATCTGTAGCTTTCTTAATGGCTTGGATGATATACATGAAGCGCATACACTTTCACACAATTCCCAAGAAGACAATTGCTATACAAGATCTTCACGGCTTATATTAATAGGACATTTGTTTTTAAGAACTTACATACAGTAAATTGCCAATGTAATACACCAAGGAAATGCTGCACTTTCCCAAGCTCCACGCTGATAAGTGGGAAATAATTTTTTTATTTATCACCCAGGGCAGTCTTCTTGCAAATGAAAGGTCTATAAATTCCCCCAACTATAGTAAAAATATACGTGCGCATTGTACACAATACCTACTGACAGGCTATGTTAGAGGATAGAGTCCAACTGCTTCATTGGTTCACCAACTACTTCTCATGCCAAATGCAGTGCAGCTTAATAGCATCGAGATCGAGTGACTCTAGACACCAGCTCAGAGGAGGAAGCAAAGGAGTCCAGAGCTGATGATTATGTCTAAACTTCCATATGAATGTGCACGGGACGGGCAGAAATTGAAGCTGCAGGAAGAATGACCCAAACTGGAATTTGGCCAAAACTCTGGAGCTAACACCCATTTTCTTTAATCACTCGCAAGAAATGTGATTTTATAAATCATCTAAGAGATCAGTCCACCAAGGGTCCATCACACCCTTGTGCAATCCTGGGTCTCCTAACTCAGGGGAAAAACTCCCACCTGCAGACTCATCAACACAAATTTTAGTGGCATAATGGATATCCCACTAATATACTAGCTCAGTTCTTCAGGCATGAGCATACCGAGGAGACCAGAAGACACTTAAATCAGGCCTCCGATCCTTTCACCCTTAATGCCCTCCTCAGCCAAGTGCCAAGCACATCTTCCCCCGGAATGCGAGCTCTCCATCCTCCCATGAGTGTTCAGCTGGGGACCAGTACCTGCTCTGTGTTCCGCTGGGACTGGAGATGTGAGTGCAGGCGCCGGATCAGGGGCACCCCATTCCTCGCTTGCCGCTTCAGCAGCCAGTAGTTGTGGAGCCTCTGCATGAACTGGTTCTTCCTCTGGAGGGAGAGCCCACTGCAAATTTTGTTCAGCCTGAAGGAAGCAAAGAGGTGTCATAGAGCCAAGTGCAAAGCAATTGTGACTCTGCGGTTTCCCGATGAGGCTTTGCAGTGCTGTGTCAAGCACACTCTGAAATAAACATAAACTGGTACGATCTGGGATCTCCTCAGCATGAATACATATGTGCCTACTTTTCACAATATATCCCTGTGTTAGTAGCAACTTGGCTGGAGGGTCTCACCAAGCACTTGCCCCAGCACTGTCAAGGTAAGCAATTACCAATTCAGCTCCAAGCCTTAATTTCAAAACTACTTTCCGTGTTAAGAACTTTCCAGGGGGCATTTAAGCCTGATTTTACTAAGCTGGAGTCTTGAAAGGAGCCCAGTAATAATATATCACCTATTTTAACCCTTGCTTACCATTCTTAGATTATACATGGTGCCTTATCAGCAGTTTCCAACGCCTATTTATTAAAATACCAGCAACACATCAACACACTTCCTAAGGCACCAAACAAAAATTCAGCACTACCTAGTTCTGCACGAGGAAGAGCTGGAAGAAAAAATAAACAGTCAAATTCAAAGCTGCTTGCAACACTGACAGGTTTGACATGCTCTGTAATAAAAGGAGAAATTAAGAAATTATGAAATGAGACTTAAAAAAGGTCAATAGTGGGATGACCCCTACCTGCCTACCAACCTGTAATGCCTGAAGTATTTTAAAAACACCTTCATGCCAGATGGGTGTTTGCTGTTAGGGACCACCATGAAATCTGTGTTACACAACAGTCTAGGATGGCTGCTTGGCAAAGCAAGAAAAGCACAATATGCCAGTGAGACTCACATAGAAGAAAGCCAGTCAGGAATTATGCTGCAGAGCACTCTGGACACAGCAATATTTATTGCTAGGCCCTGACTGAAGACTCAGTGTTTCCAAGTTCAACAATGACAGGGACTGAGTCCTTAAAACAGATCCTGTTCAGCTCCAGCTGTTCAACTCCTTCCTTAAACCTGCAACACTCACCTGTAAGAGGGAATTTGTGTGATGGTCACCATGGGCACAGATGAACGCCATTTGGTTACATCACCAGGCTCCTTTTTGATCTTTTGCTTCAATTTCACTTGGTTCTTTTTCAGAGACCCTTTGGAAGGGGCAGAATTGGCTTCCTCCTCTCCCTTCTCCTTCACAGTGTCCTCCTGCCCATCACCACTAGCAGCTGGAGACCACTTTTTTACCATCCCAGGTGGGGAATGACTCTCACAATAGGCAGTCTTGCGCACAGTGAATGTCGTGCCGTTGATGCTGGTCTCCCTCATGGGTTCAATCTTCATGAAGAGACCAGCCCTCTGGGCACAGGTGACATGGAAAGCAGTGTAACAGTTCACCTTGTGGCATTGAATAGCAGCTCCCATGCCCTTCTGCTTGCAGATACAGCATGTGAGCTTCCACCGAGCTGGAGGGATGTTGTTGATCCCTTCAATGGGCTCCAGGAAAACAGTGTTTGCAAAGCAGACCTCTGGGATCCAGATGGCACAAACCACGTGAGCCCAGCGGCCATCACTAGTCTGCTTGAAGGCTCCCCCTTTGTTCGGGCAAAGGACACAATCCACAGGGCGAGAAGGGGACTGTAAACAGCAGCGACAAAGCCACTGCCCCTCAGGGATATAGGGCACACCGTAACACTCCTGGTGCACGGCCAGATTGCAGATATCACAGAACAGAATGACATTACTGTTGTGACACTCATCGTCCATGCAGACACAGCAGAAGGCGTCCTCATCAATGAGGGACTGCTGAGCCCCGTTGTTCCGGCTCTCAAGGTATGACTCCTTTTCCAATCGATCCACCAGCAGCTCAAAAGTGTCAGCAGAAACTGTTCCATAACCATCAGCCCTTCTTTTCTCGTTGACCATTTCCAGCCATGCCAGATCCTCCTCATCCATGTCATACTCCACTTCTACATCAAGGTCTTCAGGAGGCTTTTCCAAGTACCGGTAGTAGGCAGCAGGAAGAGGAGGGGCATCTGGCTGGCTGAAAGAGTCCAGTACACGGAAGTTGGGTTGGGGTAAGTGTAAAGATGTCCCTGGTGCATGTTTGGAGCAGGACTCCTTCTTCTTGCCTTTGGAAGTTGTTTTCTTAGATTTGGAAGGCAAAAGGGGCTGCTCACTGTTTTCCTTGTTGCTGTTGCACTCAGTAATGTCCTGGGCAGTCAACTCATCCTCTGTGATGAGTTTTAAGGGATCGTAGATGCTGATGCGATGAAGCCGCCCATCGATGTCCACCTCCACAATCCGCTGGGCCTGAGCATATGTCAGCGTCTCTCGAGTCGGGGAGCACTTGAGGCTGTAGGGCGAGGGAGAACGCCTCCCCTCCAAGTTCTGTCGGGACCTCCTTCGAGGCTTCCTCATCACTGTGGTCCAGAGACCCTGTAACAAAACAGGACAGAGGACAGTGTAAGACAAGGATACAAGCAAGAAACAGTGCAGACTGAAAAACTCACTCAACACTGCAATAGTGCAAATTTCTACTAGAGACTTCAGCAGTTTCAGGCCTGCTGAGTCTTTACACCTGCTTAGATACAAGCAGGTAATTGCTGTATCAACCATTTCTTGCACTGTGTATCAGAGCAATGCACAGCACCCTCCAACTTTCTCTATTTGCAACTCAGGAGATGTATGTACCACCATATCACCAGTGAGAAGAGCTCAAAATAATTTTACAGTACGGTATACAGTCTGCTGTGCATTCAGATCAGTCAAACATTCAGATCCTCTGAAATTCAGATACTACTTATCACATCTGCTTGCACCATTCGCATATTAAGGTCACACAAGCCAATGAGTTCCTCTCTGTTCTTTTGCCTGTGACTTTTATATCCCAAATAGCACACAAAATGTGCTGGATGTTTTCTAGTTGAAAAGGAATGCACTGTTCAGGTCTTATAAAAGCAGTTCCCAATTATTTTTTTTTTTTGTCACTGAGCTCCAAATGACAAAACTAGCACTTCTCCTTCAGTCCAGGAGGGAGCTCCTCCAGGTTCCACACCTAAGGGTTGCCACCACCAATTCTTCTGTTCCAACACTGCAGATGCAAAAAGTTCTATAATGAAAAATCATCCTCCAACTTTGCTTTTCTTTCTCTCTCAGATGTAGCTGTTCCTCACACCGCTCTCCAGATACTGTATGCTGAACAGACTGTGTCCTTCCCAACATGCAAATGGGTCACAAACAGAACCAGAGGACGAACCAAACAATATATCAGATACCAGATGTGTGTCCCTTCTGCTCTTCAGTGGGATCAAGGAGGAAGTGAAGGGGAACAAGCATGGAAACAAGCAGCATGGATCCAAATGGACGTAGTAGCTCTGGCTCAGCGTTAGCCCCTCTCGAGTCATAATTCACATTCATGCACTTAAGCCAGTTCTGCATGGAGAATCCACAGGGGTACAAGCAGGAAAACAGCAAGGCAGCTTCCAGACCACACCAGGAACCATGCAATGGTATTTGCTCAGAGCCTTAACAAAAAGCCCAGGCCATCTCTGTCCTCGCAAACTGCTAATCAGCAACCCAGATAATTAGTTGAGAGTCGGTTCCTGACGTTAAGGAGGTGCCTGTCAAAGGGGAACAGAGGAGAAGCCCACAGCTGGCGAGATGATCTGGGGGAGGATGCAAACATGGCAGAGCTCAGTGATCTGAGGGCGAAGAAGGGAGCTAGCAAAGAGGGAAAGCAGAAAGAAAGCCAAGTGAGTAACGCAAGCAAGAAAGGAGGGTCAACAATGGGAACATGAGTTATGGAAAGAAATGAGCTGAGTCTGAAAGAAGTCGAAAAGTAGACAAAGAAAAGCAAATGTAAATTCTCCTCGAGAAGATAGGCCAGCCCAGAGCTTATCTGTTGCTATGCAGAGGCCTGAACCTGCACCTCACCCTTATTTAAAGCAATCCCACATTCAGTCCCTTTCTGTGGGACCCATAGACAAGAAAACACACTATAAACCCACAATTTGTAGTTAGCCAATACATTATTTGTGCTCTATGAAGGGCATAGCTCCAGAGACTCTCTATCACGTGAGTCAGAGCAAGCAGCACCTCACAGGAGTAGGACCTACAAGAAGTCCAAGCTTATTCCAGAAAGAAGCAACAAATTCCAGGAGCAACACATTTTTCAAGTACTGTTTCTGTGAACCATGAGATTAAGCCATGACACAACATGTGTATTAAGAAACAAACAGGCTCTGGGATAGGTTTTCAAACTCTTCCTTGCATCCACAGAAATAAGCTGCAGGTGCCAGTTTCAGTAAGCATACCCATAGTGATGGAACCTCTAAACACAATTTTATTTCAGGTGTAAAATATGAGATGACAATTTCTACCTGCAAATATAGGTACCACAAATTTTGGGATGTTTGTCTTAAACCTTTAATCAGTCACTTGATCCACAGACCACAGACACTCAACTGCACTTGTCCTAGCTGAGCTCCAATGGCTTCAATGAGTAGGAAAAAACAATTTGAAAATAAGGGCATAAAGGCAACTTGATCATCAAATGAAAAAAAAAAAACCAAACAGAAAATCCCGCTGGCAAACAGCTCTCTTCCAATTCAGGCCAGTACAAGCAAAGAAGATATTGGAGGCAAAAAGATATATGGGCAAAAATATATTAGAGGATGAAGTAATTATTATGAGCTGACTGCACTCATAATTAATATTTTATTCAGGAAAAATGAGGTATTAGCCACTTGCTGAGGGACAAGCAAATTTCAGTGAAACAAGCTCCTGAAGGAAGGGCTATTTTATCTGTTGATGGGAAAAATAAGGGTACAGGGCTCCTTTAGCAAAAAAATCAATGTATTTCTAGAAAAATTACTCAAAGTGGTCTTTCCACCAACTGCCATAAAACAACCCATTTGTAAAATACACAATTACTTAGCATTATGAAGAAGCATCTCAAATGGCATGGAAATTGCTGCCAGCAAGAGATGAGTACCTGGGATAATACATGCACCCAGATATGAGGAGAGACACAGCTACCCATAAAAAAAACTTTGAAAGCAGCAATGAAATGAACTCAGACCCACTGAGCTGAACACTATGACCCTGTCTACAACAACAGAAATTTCTAAGCAACAACCTAGGCATGTTTTGATCTCCCTGGCACATTTGAGAGCACCTCCCAGCTACACATAAAAAAGAATCCCTCTGCAAACAGCACCCATGCACACTGAAATGCTAAAGACACTTGACACTGGTGAGGTTAAATGCTATTTCAGCTCATGCTGATTTTACATCCTACCATGGACAAAGGTTGCTGATGTGAATGCAGAAAGTTCAGTCATGCTCTGACTATTGCCATAGTATGCTCAAAGCTTTCCAAAACCCTCCCATCACCCACTTCCGCTGGATATTGCACCAGGAGCAGGGTGTGAAGTTCCTAGAGAATACAACTGAGCAAACAAGGTGGCTACAATACATAAAGCTGCTGGGAATTAACTTAACTCCACCCCAGGAGTTCATTCAGGAGTGGTTCAATTCTCCTGAGCAGCAGCTTTTACACCTGTAGGCAAGAGATGCCTGGGAGGGCTGCAAAAGGCAACCAAGCCCATCGCCAGGACACTTAAATTTATTACAAAGGGGTCAAAAGCTCCACTGAAAAAACCTGAAGACATCAACATGTATCGAACAACACCACAATATAGGCCCCTATTATACACACAGCCTGGAATATCTGACACAAATGAGTCCTCTAAAGGAAAGGCAAAATGTTGCTGTGATTTACACCCATGCAGTACTGCATCGGCCATTTCCAAGAGTCAGAAGCACCATCTCACATTGCAGAAGGCCTCAGTCTCCTTCCCAACTCTCCTTCATGCTGCAGTCCTTCCTTCTAGCCTTCCCACACTGAACAACCAAGAATTTACTTTAGAGCACCAAGTTTCTTTGCTAACGTGCAGAGGACACAAGGCTGGAGTTCAAGGCAGTGGGGGAGTTTCCTGGCCCTTTCCAGGCATGGCTTGGTGATCCCAGTGAAGAACTGGGTCCCTCAACAATGAAGAACTTCAGTGACTTGCAGCAAGAAGGCCACCTGGACCTTAGTGAGCAGCAGCAGATGTGAGCAAAGCGGCTCTCGTTCAACTCTGGCACACCATGACTACTGGCAGTGGCTATAGCTCGTACAGTCCTAAACAGTTTGGGGTTTGTTGTCACCAAAGACTGCCTTTCTTTGGGACACGTCAAATACGAGGTCTGGAGACGTTCCTCAGCATTGCTCTCCTGCACCATCAGTCACCCAGCTCTGCCACTTGTGGCTGTTTGCTGGGATTTAAAACCTACTCCTGTGCAATGGGGAACAGAAACCCATGGAGCTATTTAAGAAACACATCTGCAAAACAAAAGCAACAGATGCCAGAGGAAAGAAACAACCTGGAACCGTTGCAGCCCCCTTTCCACCTTTTGCCAATCAAAATGCTGTTTAAACTCCTGCCACCCTCGACAACACCCCTCCACGTTCCTGCTGTGTCTGCACTTACCACGGGCTCATATTCCCTTCATGCACCTGCCAAGGGTTTATACTCCCGACACCCACACTGATGCCTACAACAGTGTGTCAGTGCTCAACAGATGTAACAGAGAACTGCCTGCCTTGGCACACATAAACGTCTTTATCGATCCCCTGGTACTTCTGTAACCAAATCAAGCTGACAGGAGATGCACCAGACTGCAAGAGAAGACCTCCTTCCAGAGGAGAGGGTTGTGAAACAGGCTGTGGATAAAGTTTAAGGTAATGTCTGGGCTCAGCGACAGATGGTGTGTGCCATGAGCTGTGTCTGGCCTCAGCAGCAGTGCTCCGAGTGAAATGTGATATGCCATGAGCTGTTTCTGGCCTCAGCAGCAACCGAGGGAACTATGACGTGCCATGAGCTGTCAGGTGCCGGCGGGAGCTCTTCTCAGGAGCTATCCTGTGCAGCGAGGGACACGGGATTCCTGCAGGAACTCCAGTAGCAGGCAGCGATCTGGGTCAGGACACAGCAGGGACTCGGACAAAAATGAAGCCGACCCCGGGAGAGGAAAAGGCGCGGCGGGTGCCTGCGACGACCCTCGCCGGTGCCCAGCACCGGGCCATGCCCAGGCGAGACCTCCGCTCCCCGAGGAGCGAGAACACTCTCCAAGGAGAGGGGCCAGAGCGGCGAGCGAAGGAGCGCGCGGCAGGGCTGGAAGGCGATTGGCTGTCGCCGCCGTACATCCCAGCTCCAAAACCAATAGCAACGCAAGACTTCGCGGGACTAAAAGAGGGTGCGCTTGGCCCCTCCTGGGCCAATAGCGTAGGAGAAGGTGGGCGGTGCCCCCGCGACGCCGCGAAGAAGGGGGGCCAAGATGGCGATAAGGGGGGGGGTCGGCTTACACAGCGCTGTCCGTTCCCCGTCCCCAGGCGC